ACGTTAATAAAACGGCATTAACGATTTTATATACATATATATCAAACAAAGGACTTCCATTTCTATAATTAACTCATCTGATGTAAATGATATTTCAAGTTCCCATCATCCAAAAATCATTTATTCAAAAACTATATATTGATTAGAAAAATAATTAAAAGAGAAATTTAAAAATGCGTAATGCGATCTGAAGAATAAGGCGACCTTTTGAAGCAAAAAATTATATAGGTTATGTTTTTTAATTTTAAACTGAAAAGACTTTCAACTTGTAATGCAAACTATATATAATAATATATTTAGACCTTCTCATTACATCTAAAATATTCAATTAAAACTGATTTTAGTTTTACAAAAACAAAAATTAAGTTTTAAATATTCAAGTTAAACTGTCGCGTAAACATAACCTATAATTTATTTGCTTCTAAGGTCCCTTTCTTCAAATCGCGTCACAATAAATTAAATTAAAAATATATTCCAACACAATGAATTCTGTAAAATAAAAGTTTTAAAAATTCTTAAAATCAAATAATCAAATGAAAAATCGATATACAAAGTTATGAGAAAAAAGAATATATATAATAAACAAATAGCAAAAGACTAAATTATCCCTTTTCGTTGTCGTCGTCTTTTAGACAAACCCTTAATTTAAATAACTCTTCTCTTTACAGAGGATATGCAAACAATTTCAAATAATTGTTCAACATTTTTTTTGGTATTCAAATATTTGAAAGCTGAAGGTTTTAATTAGTTCAACGGGTACTGGAAGTAAAGAGAAGTTCCATTTTTTCTATCACTTATATATATATACATACAAAACCTTTTTTCGGTACGCGCGCGAGGAATATATAAATTTTTATCATTTTTTTTCTTCTTTTTAAAATATATATTCATAATTAATTAGATCTGTCAATAAAATTAATGACAATACATAAAAATGGAAATATGATATATACACGAAGAAAATTCGCAGTAAATAAATTCCAATAAAAGATTTATATTTATATAATTTCCATAATATTGATATTAAAAATCATAAAATAAAGTAATAATATGATTATAATTTTAATAATTTATTATATTTGTCATTTATATATTTTTACGATAGAGAAATGTGTATATAATAATTATTATTATTTTGATTTTAAATTTCATCGAATTGATATATATTTCAAATACCTGCTATATATATATATATATATATATATATATATATATATATATATATATATATATATTGAGCCGAATTTTCTTTTGGCAAAATATGCCATTTAGCCGAATTTGGGATTTATAAATTTCAAATTACAAATTTGGAATTTCAAATAACAAATATCAATTAACAAAAAATGTCATTAAACCGCAACTGCAATTTTTAGAAAGTTTAACTATATAAGTGAAAATTGGGTTAAATATATATGGCAATACAGTTCAGCGGCAATATTAATTGGCAATTCAGTTAAATGACAGTATTGATCAGTGACAATTTTAAATGTTATTAATATACGATTCTCTGTCAATACGGTTTAATGGCAATTCTATTAACAATAGCAGTTGGATTTAGTGATAATTTGGTAAATTGTCAGTTCGGTTAAATATGCGGCAATACGGTTTAGTGGCAATCTGGTTAGTTGCGGTAAATCGGTTAAATGGCAATACACGGCTTTCTGCCAATATGTATGGCAGTATGGCAATTTGGTTAATTGTCAGTTCTGTTAAATGGCAATACAGTTTAGTGGCAATATAGTTAGTTGGCAATTCGGTTCAATGGCAGTATCGTACAGTGGCAATTTGGTTAACTGTCAGTTCGGTTAAATGTCAAAACACGGTTTTCTGTCAATTGGGATAAATGTTAATTCTATTTACTATGACAGTTATGGAATTAGTATGGCAATTCGGTTAAATGTCAATACAGTTTATCTGGCAATCTGGTTACTTGATAAATCGGTTAAATGGCAATACAGTTTTCTGTCAATTTGGGTTAAATGTTAATTCTATTTACTATGACAGTTATAGAATTAGTATGGAAATTCGGTTAAACGGCAATACAGTTTAGTGGCAATCTAGTTAGTTGGCAATTCGGTTTAATGGCAGTATCGTTCAGTGGCAATTTGGTTAAATGCGACAATACACGGTTTTCTGTCAATTGCGGCAGTTGGAATTAGTGGCAATTTGCTTAATTAACAGTTCGGCTAAATGGCAATTTGGTTAAATAGAAATTCGATTCAATGGCAATACGGTTTAGCGGCAATATGGTTAGTTGGTAATTCGGTTAAATGCGGCAATACACGATTTTCCGTTAATTGCGGAATAAATGGCAATTTTATTAACTATACGGCAGTTGGAATTAGTGGCAATTTGCTTAATTAATTGTTCGGCTAAATGGCAATTTGGTTAAATAGAAATTCGATTCAATGGCAATACGGTTTAGCGGCAATATGGTTAGTTATTGGTAATTCGGTTAAATGCGGCAATACACGATTTTCCGTTAATTACGGAATAAATGGCAATTTTATTAACTATACGGCAGTTGGAATTAGTGGCAATTTGCTTAATTAATTGTTCGGCTTAATGGCGATTTGGTTAAATAGAAATTCAATTCAATGGCAATACGGTTTAGCGGCAATATGGTTAGTTGGCAATTCAGTTAAACGGCAATTTGGTTTTTTCGCAATACGGTTAGTTGGCAATTCGGACACGTGGCTATTTGGTTAAATGAGAATACATTTAAGTAACAATTCTGTTAAGTGGCTATATTTATTTAAATAATAATTCGATATATGGTAAAATGGCAGTTAAATTAATTTTGCGGTTAATTCCAGAATTCAGTGATTGAAATGACTGTTAAACTTTTAGTTAAACATAAACATATTTTCCAAATCAATTTGCTAATTCTTAAAATCAAGTTAGAGGTATAGCGATCATTTAAAATTTAAAAATCGCATTTTCATCCATAGGAAAAATAATTGATAGGGAAGTAAAGCCAATTCGGAAAGTGAACTATGAGTGAGTAGACCTGTCGGCAACACATATATATAGTGATAGAGGAGGAATATATATATATATGTGAGTGAGTGTAAATGTATAAAGAGTTCGAGGGCTAGTTGGTGCGTGAGTGCATGGGAGGGTCGGCCATGTTGAATGAGCCTGCGTAGTGAGGGCCTCCTCTCTCCTCATGGCAAGTCAATACCTCGTACTGTAAATCCCCTTACCCCGTTCACTTCCTCGAGGTTCTCGCGAGAACATTTCTCTCGGCCAACCAGAAGGCGAGTTGATATACCCGCCGTAGCGATGGCAACGCTTGTTCTTCCTTGCTAAAGTCGCTTCGCGTTCTCCCACCTCCATATATAACTCCCCTCCCTCATACCCTTTTCTAGCGCAGAAACTCCATCCTGTACTCAACACCTTCTCTTCCTTTTATATATATATATTTTTTACGAAAAGATAAAAAAAAAAAAAGAAAAGCTCGCCTCTCTAAATCCACTGTACATGAGGAGTGACGCCAAGTCGACAACATCGCATATATCTCGCCATTACTTTTCTTACATTCCATTTTAAAAAAGAAATTAATTTTCTTCGCACCAAAATGCCAATTTTTTTTTTCCATCGTGTAATCACATTCCCATGAAGTTGTTATTTTTAAAAATGGCTCATATCTCAAGAAACAGAAATACGTGAGAAAATCAAACGGCCTTTTATATTTAAAAAAAAAAAAATTTCCAGAAAATGGTTGGGCAAAAAACTATAGTTTAAAAGGTACGCGACGATAAAAAGTTGTAGTACTATAAGCTTATTCCGAAATTCATGAATGAAGGACAAAAAAAAAAAACGGAGAAATTTTTCATTCGAGTACAATCAAATCGTACTTTTCCCATTATTTCTTTCTCGTATCCTTCGTTCTTTTTTTTTTTGTCAAAACTGACTTTGATCACGAGTGTACGCTTCACATTGAAGCTTCCAGATTCCTCTTTTGAAATATGCAAGGCACCCGCGAGACAGAATGTAAGTCTCCCATGTTCTTCCTGCTTTTCTTTCTTTCTTTCTTTTTTTATTCCTTTTTCTCTCTTCGTCTTTTTACATCATTTCTCTTTCTCTCTTACACATATACTACTCTTTTGATGATTTTCCACGGAACTATATATATATATATATATATATACGCAGTAACTCCAACGCCTTGAATAAACTGCTTCCGGCTAGTTTATACGCCAGAAGCGCGACGGGTTTACTGCGATATTTTTTAGTTTTATTTTACCATTTTTTTTTTTTTTTTTTTTTTATTTTATTTTACTTTTATAGAACTCGAGGCGCGGCAACGTAAACGCTTTAAAGTGTTTCCTCGCACTGTAACTCTCTAGGGACTAAATTATTTCCAACAAATTCTAATATATTTTTCTTATTTTGTCGCAGTTTTTCTGTTTTTTAAGACTTTATTTTCTTCTTTTTGTATATATATATATATATATATAGCGTCTATATCGACGAAAAGAAATTAATTTTTTAGCGATTTTTTTTCGGTCATTTGCAATTTTGGACAAATAAAAATTCGACGTTTTAAAAATTCTATGAAAAAAGAAATTCTGACAAATATTAAATTGGAAAAATAAAAATTCGTGTAAAAAAAATATTTATAATAAAATTGTTTTCCGTAAATGTGAAGATAAAAATTTTAATCACTGCACGGAAAAAAAGAAAAAGTAATTTTTACTACTTTCATAGTAAAATGGGATCTGTCCGAAGTTTCTTAACCCTTTTTCGCGAATATAGTGAAGTATGTGTGTATATGTGGTAAAACTTATACATAATTCGTATACCGAAAACCATATAATATTTAAGACCCCAGGATTACATTCTAATTAACAAGGAGTTTGTCGTGTGACCACTCTCTCTGGCTCTAATCCGTTTACGAAAATTTCAATTTCTCGCCTCACTTAAGTAAACCAAATTTCTATAGTTTTATCTGTATCTACATACCTTAATTTATATATGAAGTGATGAAATTGTCTCCGAATACCGCGCTGAGATTCAAATTGCAAACGAATGCGACGACAGACTTTATCTTTCTCCGAGTTGAACGACACTATTCCTCATCTCTTCATATATATATGATTAGAATCCATTTTTATCCGCATAGCAAGAAAGAATAACATTTCAATATATTCTTTTCATCCACACGAAAGAAAAAAATCACATCGCACATTCCATGAAGAAAAATATCATATTATATATGTATAATTCTTTTTCCTACAACAAAAAAAAGCAAAGAAAGAAAGAAAATATTAAAATAAATAAATAAATAATAAATTAATAAATAAAAATATTTTTAAAAAGAATTTTGCAAAACTTAAATGGTAGTACAGTTTAGAGTCATTTTAGATATATATAAGCGGCAATTCGGTTAAATATATATATATATGTCAGTACCAGGTTTAGTGCGGCAATTGGGCAAAATAACAATATGAATTATGGCAATTCGGTTAAATGGCAGTACAGTTTAGTGCGGCAATTTGGTTAAATGACGTATACGGATTATTGGCAAATTGTTTAATTAGCCAGTTTGGATAGTGGGCAAAACGGTCAATTATGACAAAATTCAGTTAAATGGCAGTAAGATTTAGTGGCAATTGGGCAAAATGACAATATGAATTATTATGACAAAATTCAGTTAAATGGCAGTAAGATTTAGTGGCAATCGGGCAAAATGACAATATGAATTATTATGGCAATTCGGTTAAATGTTAGTACAGTTAAATGCGGCAATTTGGTTAAATGACAAAATATGAATTATTGGCAATTCGGTTAAATGGAAGTACAGTTTAGTGTCAATTGGGCAATATGGCAAAGAGTTTAGTGCGGCAATTTGGTTAAATGACGTATACGGATTATTGGCAAATTGTTTAATTAGCCAGTTTGGATAGTGGGCAAAACGGTCAATTATGACAAAATTCAGTTAAATGGCAGTAAGATTTAGTGGCAATTGGGCAAAATGACAATATGAATTATTATGACAAAATTCAGTTAAATGGCAGTAAGATTTAGTGGCAATCGGGCAAAATGACAATATGAATTATTATGGCAATTCGGTTAAATGTTAGTACAGTTAAATGCGGCAATTTGGTTAAATGACAAAATATGAATTATTGGCAATTCGGTTAAATGGAAGTACAGTTTAGTGTCAATTGGGCAATATGGCAAAGAGTTTAGTGCGGCAATTTGGTTAAATGACGTATACGGATTATTGGCAAATTGTTTAATTAGCCAGTTTGGATAGTGGGCAAAACGGTCAATTATGACAAAATTCAGTTAAATGGCAGTAAGATTTAGTGGCAATTGGGCAAAATGACAATATGAATTATTATGACAAAATTCAGTTAAATGGCAGTAAGATTTAGTGGCAATCGGGCAAAATGACAATATGAATTATTATGGCAATTCGGTTAAATGTCAGTACAGTTAAATGCGGCAATTTGGTTAAATGACAAAATATGAATTATTGGCAATTCGGTTAAATGGAAGTACAGTTTAGTGTCAATTGGGCAATATGGCAAAGAGTTTAGTGCGGCAATTTGGTTAAATGACACTATACGGATTATTGGCAAATTGTTTAATTAGCCAATTTGGATAGTTGGCAAAACGGTCATTTATGACAAAATTCAGTTAAATGGCAGTAAAATTTAGTGGCAATTGGGCAAAATGACAATATGAATTATTATGGCAATTCGGTTAAATGTCAGTACAGTTAAATGCGGCAATTTGGTTAAATGACAATATGAATTATTGTCAATTCGGTTAAATGGAAATACAGTTTAGTGGCAATTGGGCAATATGGCAATACAGTTTAGTGCGGCAATTTGGTTAAATGAAACTATACGGATTATTGGCAAATTTTTTAATTAGCCAGTTTGAATAATGGCAAAACGGTCAATTACGACAAAATTCAGTTAAATGGCAGTAAGATTTAGTGGCAATTGGGCAAAATGACAATTTGAATTATTATAGCAATGCGGTTAAATGGCAGTACAGTAGATTAGTGGCAATTTGGTTAATTATTCAGTTTGGATAAATGGCAAAATGATCAATTGACAACTCAGTTAAATGGCAGTAAGATTTAGTGCGGCAATATGGCAGTAGAGTTTAGTGGCAATTTGGTTAAATGGCATTACAGTGGTTCAGTGTGCAATATGGTTAAATGGCAGTACAGTGGTTTAGTGGCAATTTGGTTAATTAGCCAGTTTGGATAAATGGCAATATAATCAATTGGCAATTCGATTAAATGGCAGTACAGTGGTTTAGTGGCAATTTGGTTAATTAGCCAGTTTGGATAAATGGCAATATAATCAATTGGCAATTCGATTAAATGGCAAAATGGTCAATTGGCAATTCGGTTAAATGGCAGTATAATTTAATGACAATTATAGACAAAATGGCAGTACTATTATAGCAATATGGTTATAATTTAATTCAGAGAAATGGCAAATATCGCAGTTTTGGCAATTCGGTTAAATGTCAGTACAATTTATAGTATGGCAATTTTGGTTATTTATACAATATCAGTTTGATTAAACAACAATACAATATGGTTAGTTGGCAATTCGTTTAAATGGCCATAGAATTTAGAAAATTTTCATATGGACAGACAAAAGTAATAACATAATCATAATTATTTCACAGTATATATGTAATTTTCATTAGGCCCCCACTTCAATTTTCAATGATTAAAATCAATAATGCTTTCTATCTGAAACTAAATATGCCTGCGAGGGATATTTATAGTTTACCCAAACGCCAGTCTACAATCAAGGTAAACTACAATTTACATAATATCGGTGCCTATATATTAGGACGCACTAAATTGATATACCCTAACTCAATAATTTCATATATATATATATATATATATGAATTGATTTTTTTTTATACAGACGAGAAGATCATATAGAGCAAAATTATACACACACATATGAGTGAATTGTATCATCCCTTTTCTCTCTTATACACACAGACATACCCAATTATGCTTTATGCATCTCCCTCCCATAATACTGAACCCAATATATCGAGCAAAAGCTCGTTTCACGATATATATATATATATATATATATATATTTATGTATATGTGTGAATGCAGGTGTAATGCTCTCTGCCTATTTCACATATATATACATAAAAGTATATACGCGTGGATCCAGATGTATGCATGCGAAAGTGTGTACAATCAAACATTGTTCATGATTTAGTCAAATATTGGCGAAATACACAGCTTTGTAGTACCTCCCTCTCGATGTATCTACCTATGTATCATCGTGCCAAATAATCCGCGGTAGATTGCACTTCGATTGTCCATTGGTTAAATAGCACTCTTTTTTAGATATCCGATAACAACAAAAAATAAATAAATAAATAAATAAATAAATCTTTGTCAATAACGATAAATATTTGCTTAAATATATGTATATAAAACAAGCTCATATATTGTATACATATATATTAAATGTTATATAAAACACTCTATTAGCAATTATAAGTATTATAAATATAAAAAGTAAATGGATGTTAAAAAAAATACACCAATTACTTTTAATTAATAAACTATAAATTAAATTGAAATTTAATTTTAATCAGTTAATTAATTACGAATCAATTATCTATATTTGAAAGTTTAAATATCTAATTAATATATTCATTGTATTGTAAATTTTTCTTTTAACATTCTTACTTTAAATTTAAATTAATAGGAATATTCACTAATTTAAATTACAGTAAAATTTTCTATACTAATTTTCAGTCATTTTTCACTAAAACAAAAAAAAATATAACTAAATCGAATATTAATATTTTACAGTAAAAATTAGTAAATTTTCTTTACTACTTTTTAGTCTTTTTTCACTAAAACAAAAAAAAATATTACCAAATCGAATATTAATATTTTACAGTAATAATTAGTAAATTTTCTTTACTAATTTTTAGACTTTTTTCACTAAAACAAAAAAAATATTACCAAATCGAATATTAATATTTTACAGTAAAAATTAGTGAAAATTTCTACTAATTTTCAGTCATTTTTCACTAAAACAAAAAAAAATATAACTAAATCGAATATTAATATTTTACAGTAAAAATTAGTAAATTTTCTTTACTAATTTTTAGTCTTTTTTCACTAAAACAAAAAAAAATATTACCAAATCGAATATTAATATTTTACAGTAATAATTAGTAAATTTTCTTTACTAATTTTTAGACTTTTTTCACTAAAACAAAAAAAATATTACCAAATCGAATATTAATATTTTACAGTAAAAATTAGTGAAAATTTCTACTAATTTTCAGTCATTTTTCACTAAAACAAAAAAAATATAACTAAATCGAATATTAATATTTTACAGTAAAAATTAGTAAATTTTCTTTACTAATTTTTAGTCTTTTTTCACTAAAACAAAAAAAAATATTACCAAATCGAATATTAATATTTTACAGTAATAATTAGTAAATTTTCTTTACTAATTTTTAGACTTTTTTCACTAAAACAAAAAAAATATTACCAAATCGAATATTAATATTTTACAGTAAAAATTAGTGAAAATTTCTACTAATTTTCAGTCATTTTTCACTAAAACAAAAAAAAATATAACTAAATCGAATATTAATATTTTACAGTAAAAATTAGTAAATTTTCTTTACTAATTTTTAGTCTTTTTTCACTAAAACAAAAAAAAATATTACCAAATCGAATATTAATATTTTACAGTAATAATTAGTAAATTTTCTTTACTAATTTTTAGACTTTTTTCACTAAAACAAAAAAAATATTACCAAATCGAATATTAATATTTTACAGTAAAAATTAGTGAAAATTTCTACTAATTTTCAGTCATTTTTCACTAAAACAAAAAAAAATATAACTAAATCGAATATTAATATTTTACAGTAAAAATTAGTAAATTTTCTTTACTAATTTTTAGTCTTTTTTCACTAAAACAAAAAAAAATATTACCAAATCGAATATTAATATTTTACAGTAATAATTAGTAAATTTTCTTTACTAATTTTTAGACTTTTTTCACTAAAACAAAAAAAATATTACCAAATCGAATATTAATATTTTACAGTAAAAATTAGTGAAAATTTCTACTAATTTTCAGTCATTTTTCACTAAAACAAAAAAAAATATAACTAAATCGAATATTAATATTTTACAGTAAAAATTAGTAAATTTTCTTTACTAATTTTTAGTCTTTTTTCACTAAAACAAAAAAAAATATTACCAAATCGAATATTAATATTTTACAGTAATAATTAGTAAATTTTCTTTACTAATTTTTAGACTTCTTTCACTAAAACAAAAAAAATATTACCAAATCGAATATTAATATATTTTACAGTAAAAATTAGTGAAAATTTCTACTAATTTGAAATAGTGAATTCATTCTCCACTAATTTAAATTTAGAGTAAAACTAAAAAAATATATATGCTTTAAAACTTTTTCCCTAAAAAATTTTACATATATATGTAAACAATATATTTTATTCATACAATCTTATATGAAAATTTATCTATATCAAATTTAATCGGTATATTATATATATAATAGTTTCAAGTGCGGAATAACATTCTTTCCAAATATCTATATACTTAAAAAGGGTTATATTCTTTAAAAAAAAAAAAAAATGCTGACGTAAAAAAAGATAAATTTCAATGTCATTTTCAAGCTTTTGTAATAGACCTCTAAATATTTTGTGTACATATATATATACATATATATGTATTAAAAGCAATGTATGTATGTGTATAAGAAAGTTAATAATAGAACGATTATCATTCTTGATATCTCAGTGCGAATGTATATTGTGAACCAATTCGTCTGTTCGGCTAAATGAAAAAAAAAATATTGTGAAGAAAAAACTTATTCCTTTGCACTAAAAAATTTCGCAAGTAAAAAAATTTATTTTTTTCAAATAATTAATTATTTGTCTATTATTAAATATTTTCTTGAACCAAATAATTTTTATTTGCGAGTCATATATTTAATTTTTATTTGTTTCAAATATATAAAGAAAATATTGGTTTATAAATATACAATTTAATTCAAATAAAAATTATTTGATACAAATAAATATAATAATAATTATATATTTATCTCACAGACAAAAAATTATTTATTTGATTTAAATAAAAAATTTTATTTACGCCAAATAAATTGTGTGAGACAAATATATACGTTTATTTAACTCAAAAATATATTATATTTGATTCAAATAAAATACCAATTATAAATATATTTTGCAATATTATAATTTACTATTATATTATAAAGTATTATATTTATTATTAAATAAATAATAATAAATAATATTTATTATTATATTTATTATTATATTATTATTAAAGTATTATACAGTATTTTATAGTAATATACATAATTGTTATATAAAAATAAGAAATAATAATAATAAAAATTTGTAATTAATAATTATTATAATTTGTAAATTATATTATAAAAAAAATCAATTAATAATTATATTATAAAAAATATATATATTAGAAAAGGTTATAGAAAAAAATAATCAAAATAGATTTCATAGAAATAAGTGGATTTATTGAAACATGTACACCTCCTGCAGTTCTTTTCGTTTTTTTTTTTTTTTTCATGGACAAAGTAAAATCAAATCTCGATTCTTGTTTAATATATATATATAATATTTATATGTGTATGTTAAAAACTAGAAAGAAAAAAAAGATGAGAGAAAACAAGAAGATTCAACGACAATTTTTTGAAGTCATGAAGATGGTTTTTTTGAGATTTTTCAAAAAAAAAAAAAAAATACATTATAATTTATTTTTTCTCGCTCAATTTCACAGAAATTTTCACATATATATATATATATTTATATATTGCAGATAAACTGAAAATTTATTGCGAATTAAATCTTATAGATATAAATGTTACTTTTATAATTTACAATAATAAGATGTGTTAAAGAAAAAAAAAAAAATAATTTTTTTTCTTCATAATACTCTACATGTGTACGTATATATGTTTGTGTGTGTTTATGTGTAATTTGTTTTGTTAATGTTATTAAATATTTACAGATGCATCGTTTTTTTGGCATAGTTCAAAGGTAAAAATTTTCACAACTTTTTTTTCAAAACAGTAATAACAAATTTCAATATATTATTATATATTAAAAATTTCTATCAGAATTATAAATAGTCAATAAATTGCGTCTAAAATACCTTATCAAAAGCATCACGGTTAGGAGAATTTTATCTTTCCTTTTGATAAAAAGTATTTTTTTTTTTTTTTTTTTTTTATATTTCATTTACGGTGTACACCCCGATTATGAAAAAAAAGAGAAAACTATTTTTTTTTTCTATATACCTTTGAAATATGCAATATAAAGTTTTTTTTTTTTTTTTTTTCTTACGTCGTTTCTCTAGCTCAATAATATATATCGTCAAAGATTCCATTTACATATATATCTATATATTTATAATATTTATATTCTTTTTTTATAACATGTATTACTGTGCATTATACGCAATATGTCCGTGCGACTATCTACAGATATTGTACAAAAGCACCAAAAATGAAAAAAAACGTCGTTTTTCGGTGCTATTTTTCTTAGAAAATAATATTAATAATAATAATAATAAAAATAATAAGAAAAACGAATAATGAATATACAACACCATCAGACGAATATATAATATATTGATATTTATACATATGTCTTTTGTGTAAGAGTCAATATAATATATCGTCTGTGAATTTTCTTATCTCTTTTTTTTTTTTGTACCTTGAAAATAAAATATCGAATAAGTTACTATATTATATATATGTACAAGACTTCTTTGAATTTGACTATTGCTTTTAAAACAGAATTAAAATAATAGTAAATTGTGACTATATTTTATTTATTTTACTCTTTAGTCCCATTTTTTTAAAAAATAATATTTATATTTAATATAAATTTAAAAATTATCAAAATTTACAGAAAAATATTTTACTAATTGAAATTTAAAAAAAAAAAAATTCAAAATTTATTTAAATCAAATATCTTTTTATTTTACATCAAATAAATTACAAATATATAATTTCTTTAATTTGAAACAATATAATATAATATTGACTCAAATATTTATTTAATAAAATTGAATATTACAAATAGATATTTATTTGATACAAATAAATATTTCTAATCTAATAATTAATTATTTGAATCATATAAATTTAATTTAAAGTATTTTTTTCAAATTTGAAATTATTCCTCATAAAAATCGTAAAATAATTCCATAAAATTTGATAATTTAAAAAAAAAAAATTTATTTCTAGAATTATAATTTTGAAAATAGTAAATTTTTTTTTTTTTTTTTGCTTTTAAATTTTGTTAATATATAACACATTGGAACTTAAACTATACACTCCCATAGTACATAGATATATGTGCAAATTCGTTCATTTTGTTAACTTAATTTTCATTTCACAAATTATCACAATTTTCGCTCTTTTACCAACACCTGATCGTCATTCAATTTGCACCACACATATACTCAATTACGTTTTACGTGTTTTATTTTCTTGTTTACGAGAGACTTCTAAAATGCCAATTCCACTCTTGTTATTACCGATGACTGCGCGCAACGAAAAAACGATAATAAATTGTAAAACCTGCTTTTTTTTCGAAAAAAAAAAATGTTAATTTTTTCTTTTTTTAAATCACACACACAAAATTATTTTTCTTCTATTAACACTTTTTATAAACAGTATTAATTGTTAAAAGACTTTTTTTTTCATTAAAATAAAAATCAAGAAAATATATTTACATATTATATAATGCGGAAACATATATATATTTATATATATATTGTTTGACAATATTGTTTTGTTTAAGGTTTACAATCGCGCGACGATAACTTGAGGACACTCGAGAGATCAATGACCACAAAAAAATTACTCTTACAACAATCATTATGATCAAACAAAAAGTCCACGCTAGAGAATGTGTTTGCTAGTGCTAATCTGAAAATCAAACACCGATATCGCTCTCTATCGTCTCGATCTTGCAAAGTCTCATAATGTATATTACGAAGTCAAGTTCGAGGATAAATTATTGGCATTTTCATTTTTAGTTCCGTCAATAAAAAAAAAAAAAAACAAATTTTTTCACTCATTATACACAAATCGAAATCATCGGTAATTACGCAAAGGAATAAAACATTTTTTTTTTTTTTTTAATTGCATATATAGAAAACAAGTCTTTCAGACATTTTTTTTTTTTAAATTATATGCAAACAAAAAATTTTTTTTTATACTTAAAACTCCTAGATAAATTTCAGTAATAATTGCGTTTTCAAAAAAAGAAAAAACATTTTTTTTTTTTAGAAAGAAGACTTCCCCCGTCGCTTCTTTATATAAAAAGCGTAATAAAAAATAAGATTTTAAAAATCCAAACATTTATTTTAATTAATGTTTTTTGTGTCATCTTTACGAGTGAATTTTAAAAATAAAGTACAAAAAACCGAGATTAAAAATTGAAAAAATTCGCTTAGATAAGGAATAATATTTTTTTTTTTTATTATTAAATTTATCCTAGGAGTTTTAATAAAATAAAAATGGTCCCAATCAATTTGGTTTCGATAATAATTTTTGAAATTAATGAAATGTTTTGTTTAAAAAGCAAAAATGCACTTTAAAAGTGAAATTTTAATTAAAAATTGAGTTATCATTAATTTATATTGTAAACAATAAAAAAAAAAAATTTTCCACATTAAAATTATTACAAAAGTCGTTACAAATTTTTTTTTCATTTTCAAATAAATATATATAGTCATCAGATTCGTTTCTTTTAAAAAAAGAGAAAATTGATTAAAAATCAATAGTTATACGCTTCGAAGAAAAAACACAAATACTCTCTATACATTTGAATTATAGTCAAAATATAATGACTTTCAGTTAAATGTAAATTTGTTCATCAATTGTTTTCATAAATTTTCATTTAAAAAAAACTATATACTTATCCATATAAATTTTGAATTTGAAATATATTTATAAGTTAAAAATTTTTACAAGAACAAAAAAATGTTCTAAAAGTGACAAAAGAAACCAAAGTTCCTCAAAAGTAATATAACTGTCTTTATAAATCACCTAAATATGTTATAAGTGACCTAAGTGTGTTATGAGTCACCAGTGTCTTAAAAAGTGGCACTTTATAAGTGTCCTAAGTGTCTTATAAGTCACCAAAATGTCTTATAAAGTGATATAATTGTCTTGTATATGATTTCAATGTCTCCCAAGTCACCAGTATCTTATAAAGTTACTTAAATGTCTTATAATGGAATTAAGTGTCTTATAAAGTGACAAAAATATCTTTATAAGTGTTCTAAGTGTCTTATAAATCACCAAAATGTCTTATAAAGTGATATAATTGTCTTGTATATGATTTCAATGTCTCACAAGTCACTAGTGTCCTATAAAGTGACATAAATGTCTTATAAGAGCACTAAGTGTCTTAAAAAGTGTCATAATTATCTTTATAAGTGTCCTAAGTGTTTTTTAAGTCACCAAAATGTCTTATAAAGTGATATAATTGTCTTGTATATGATTTAAATGTCTCGTAATAAGTCACCAGTATCTTATAAAGTTACATAAATGTCTTATAATGGAATTAAGTGTCTTATGAAGTGACAAAAATTTCTTTATAAGTGTCCTAAGTGTCTTATAAGTCACAAAAATTTCTTATAAAGTGATATAATTGTCCTGTATATGATTTCGATGTCTCACAAGTCACTAGTGTCCTATAAAGTGACATAAATATCTTTATAAGTGTCCTAAATGTCTTATAAGTCACCAAAATGTCATATAAAGTGATATAATTGTCACATGTATGAATTAAACGTCTCACAAGTCACTAGTGTCCTATAAAGTGACATAAATGTCTTGCAAGTGACATTAATATCACTATAAATGACCTAAGTGTCTTGTAAATGGACATAAATGTTTTTTAAATCAATAAACTGTCTTATAAATTGAAAAAAATATCTTTAAAAGGGTTCGGAAGTGTCTTATAAGTGATATAAATGTCTTATATGTGACCCAAGTGTCTCAAACGACACCAGAGTGTCTTATAAAGTGACATAAATATCTTTGTCAGTCTCAAACCAAACTGATAAGTGACATAAAAATTCTTATAAAGGACCTAAGTGTCTTATAAGGAACCAAAGTGTCTTTTAAGGAACCTGAGTGTCTTATAAAAGATCTAAGTGTCTTGTAAGTGATTTAAATGTTTTTCAAGTAAGTAACAAAAGAAAAAAACAATTGCTGAACAAATTTAATTTAAATATTTTTAATTTTATGCGGACTTAAATGAAAAAAAAAGAACCTATAGACCTGCTTATCACCTTGTGATTAAAAAAGAGTAGGCTACAAAGTGTCATCTTCATCATCGTCTTCTTCAACCTCGTTCCAACAAGAAGCACCATTATCATTGACATCCCGACGACGTGAATTAGGATAATCATCAGAACAAATTGGAACGTCCGTGTTGGTATTTGCGGCATAGGCCGCGGCAGCTACTCAGGCCAGAGCGTAAGGATGTGTGGCGTGATGTCACAAGCCCGGCGTAGCCGTCACTGAAGGTGGTGGTGGTGCACTTGATGCACTAACACTATGATGATAAAGTGGACTTTGATAATAATCCTGATGATGATTACCCATATTGTGCATTGGTCCACCAGTGTTCGAGCTATGCATTCCATTGTGATGATGATGTCCTGGTGGTACCGAGTGTGGATGAGGATGATGCGGTGAACCATAATTGTAACTTTGTTGTAAATGCTCATACATTTTGAGCTCGGGTTTTGTATCCTGTGCAACGGGTGATGTACCAGCAGCACCAGGTAGTAGCCTCGTGATACTAAAGGGATGACTTGCCGCCGCATATGATGGCTCTTGCTTTAAACTTCCTGCCATTCCATGATGAAGGCCATTTGGATCACTGAGAAGATGTGGATGAAGACTTCTTCCCACCATTGCTGCCAATTCATCATGAGCTGCGCCAAGATCCGTTCCCAATAAACCACCAATATCCGTTGTATCGCTTTTGAGATTCGTATGATGTGGATGAATACTACCGGGATGATGGTGATGATGATGATTCACCAATGAATGAAGATCTTTTTCATCTTGCGGTTGACCATGATGTAGAGGTGTTTTTTTGCCATGATTCAATTCATGAGATGGTGGACTACCATGACCGGAACCACCACCCGAATTATGATGTCCCGGATGTGTATGTTTTGTTGTTTGCCTCGTGAGTTCTTTTTTCTCATCCTTAAACCTCTTTTGACGTCTTAGGTAACAGCCATTCTCAAACATGTTTCCACTTTCTGGATGTAGTGTCCAAAATGAACCTTTACCAGGTTTATCGGGAGTTCTTGGTACTTTGACAAAGCAATCATTAAAACTAAGCGAATGCCTGATTGAATTTTGCCAGCGCTGTTGATTTTGTCTATAAAATGGAAACAAATCCATTATAAATTGATAAATCTCAGAAAGTGTCAGCATCTTTGTGGGAGCATTTTGTATTGCCATTGTGATGAGACTAATGTAGGAATAGGGTGGTTTTGCATGTGTGTAACTTCTTCTATATGATTTATCAGTTCTGGCACGTTGTAATGCCGAATTTGGTGAATCAGGCTCGGATAGTGAAATCCCCGAATCTGTCATACGAGAACCAGGAGTTGATCCAAGTGACGCATAGCCGACGGCATTCATGCATGTACCACCGCCACCCATTGATGCACCAGAGGCATAGGCACTCATTCCACCACCGCCCATTGATGCCATTCCAATTGCAGAACTCATACTACCAATATTAAAGGCCCCTGGACTCTGTGGGCTACAATTGGGTCCAACTCCCATGGACATGCCCATGGGTACACAACTCATTGAATTAATTGAGCTGTACGATGACGCCATGCTCCCCATGTTTGACATGGCAGCACTCGTCATGGCACCGCCAAGGCTGCCAGCATCGCTGTACAGCTTCTGCGACTGAAGCATGGTCATAGAGCTAATTGGGGGTGGGAAATCCTGTCGTTGTCAAACTGAAATCATGTAAATAGCCGCACAATGGCGATGATGACGCCAAAATTGTTCAATATATTCACTTAAAACACTTTTCTTTCACAGTCACTGATGATAAACGCACTAATCATAATAAAGTTCAAAAAATGTCACAATCACTGTCACTATTATCACACTGTTCTACAATTCTCTTTCTATATATAGAGAGATTCTTCAACTATTTGCAATTGTCACAAGCAAACTAAAATGGACATCAGTTGAGTTAGATTGCCAAAAGTAAAACACAAACAATTCGCGACCGATCCGCCTACGAATAAACCAACCGCAGTCCTTAGCGAACAATGTCCGCGACACACGACACACTCAATGACGTTCCGATAGGGGTAATTGTTGTTCCAACACAACACGACGTTCTCTATGTAACGACACACGTTCAAAGCCGCGGTTATTTGCAGGTCTGTTTGAGCGGGCACACCCTCTCTCTCACTCCTTCTCTCTTCTTCTTCTCTTTCTCCTCTCTCTGTGTAATGTAGTGTGGATGGAGGCCGGTTAGCGAGTGTACTCCGGTACTCTTGAGCTGCCGAGTCTTGTTCAAACATCCCCCTCTATAATGACGCGACTATCGAGGTTTGTAGCTCCTCCTTCATAATGCCGTTCAGCCAATCGAATAACATGATTCAAGTTTCAGCTGTGGGAAAACTTCCCTTATGAGCCACCAGTGACGTAACAAAATGGGCGTGTTCAAATAACGTTTCTCTGGGATATGTAGGTTCGGCCACGTCCCCCTTTTTTTTAAAAAAAGAACATGTGTGTTGTATTACATATGTGACGGTTTAACGGGTTGCTCTAAACGCAGGCGCATCATACAGAGAAAAACATGAAGCTACTTGCGCAGTTGTCAATGCCTTTACCTGTGATATCCGACGACGTCACGACGATCGCGACGACGGCGACGAAAACGATATCAAGGCGTCGCGTGTCATGTCAACTGCCACTCATTTGACACATCGCGAAAAGCATAATCGTGAAATTTTTCTTTATTTGCAAAAAAAAAATTACCTTCCTTAAATCGGGCGCATGCAAAATCGTTTTGCATTATTTTTAAAGCTACGATAAATTTATTGTGAATGATTATATATAAACAATGAGAAAAAAAAGCGGTCCTCTTTGGAAATAAACGTCACTAAATGGAAGGTAATTATAAATATAATCGGAATTAGTAGTAAAATTATGATTTTTAATAATCAATAACGATTATAGTTGCGGTACACGATTTTAAGTGGGTTTAAGAATCATTAATTGTGATCTCTTAATCTGAAACAGTTAAAATTGGGTCACTGATTAAAAATTAGTGAATAATTCACTGGGTATCAGTGAAATTTCACTAATTCAAACAATATTCACTGAAAATCAGTAAAAAATAGTGAATTACTAAATTGCAATCAGATTCTCACTGATTCAGATTAAGAAAGATATTTTGTTTTCCTAGCAATAAACATTTGCGCGGTTATTATATATGCAACCGTTATGTTTTCGTTATAATCTTTAGGGTTACTTCAACAAAAATTTTGTTTACCTTGCCAAATTTTTGTTGGAACAAAAAAAAAAAAAAGTTGCACAAATAACAACCGAATGTTTTGTTGTCAAAGCCAAAATTTTTTTCTCTTAGTGCGGACATATGAAAAATATTTAACTTTGACATAATAAAAAAAAACATTACTTGATATTTAAGCAACCATTCTTTTATTGGTCCAATAAATTATTTTGGTTACTTTAACCAAATTCTGGTTACAATAACCAACTTCTGGTTAATTCAACTAAATTTTAATTTAATAAAATTTTGTTTCAACAAAATTTGTGTTCCCTCAATTAGAATTTGAACGAAATTTTTTTAATCATTTTAAATTTCACATTTGTCATGCATTAATTCAAAAATTAGTTAAAATTTGTACAAATTAAGATTCCGTGTGTGTTATATATATGTTGTTGCTTTTATTTGCCAACAAGACGCGCGCGATAATCTGTTAATGACATTAAAATAGTTTAAAATTTTGTCGATTGAATTGCAGACAAGACAAAAAACAAATATACACCTCAAATCTACATCTCTAAAATCTAAAACAGGTACTAAAAGGTTATTTACTTTTTGCGGCTTTTGCCATAAACACTTAAAAGGTTTATTATACACTCAGGATTATCCTTTTCTTTGCTTTGTAGGTGTGTATAGAGTACAGTCGTTGCAAGCGACATATATATAATAGAAAATGATGTACAAAAAGTTGGCGCCCCAAATCTTCATAAGAACTGGGGGTTTCTAAAATATTCTTTTTTTTTTACGTCTGACACGAAATCTTTGGCTATATATCGTCTTAGCAATATATATATATATATTTTGAGCGTCGCAGAAAGTTTCGTATGTTTTTATTTTCAAATAGATTATTTTCAGTGCGTCTACAAATTCTTTAAATTTTCCATTTTTTTTTCAAAAATTCGGACTATAATGGGATGACGACGAGGAAATATTATCTATACCAATATATCTCTTATGCACTTAGAATGAAATTTTTGCAGCGGCACGTCATTTATTTAGACACACACACAAACAATATATATATATAAGGAAATATTTCTTATCAATTTTTTTTTTCGAAACAAACTTAAATCTTTAATATATATATATATGTGTACTGATATACCAGAGTTTTCCTCGAGGAAATATTTTATAAGATCTTAAAACGAAAATGTATAGAAAAATGATGAGAGTTTAAATTTTCCTTTTAAGTATGTCCTAAGCAAATAGGAATTTTTGTTTAATTGCGCATATATATGAGGAAACTATTATTTTCCCTTTAATTCAAAAAAATATTAAGTGGATATAGAAAACAATGTCATTTAACTGAATTTGAGCGAATTCTAACACATTTTTCGGATTTGAATATCGAAGAATTTATTTCTATAAAAATATCAAGAAAGAAAGAAAGGAGAGAAAGTATGAGAAAGAAAAAAGGGAGTAGAGTCAAGATGAAAAAAAAAAACAAGCTCAAATACCAATAAATATGCATAGCTACTTATTTGGTTATATTTCCAGAGAGACCACGACTAGTGCATTAAAGTTAGATCCGTGGTACCCACCTGAACTGGGGTCTTTATCGAGCCTCGAATTGTTTGCGGAATGAAAATATTGTCCTTGTAAACAAAGTGGTCGTATTGTGCTATCCCGGTTATAACAAATCGTCCATCTCGGCATAACAAGTGTTTTTTGACCTTTATCGAAATTATATACTTCACAACCGTGTGGTAAATATTACTTATATAAATTTTCTTTTTTAATCAGCAAATAAAAAATTATACCAATATTTCCTAAAATCTCAATAAGTCAATCTCATACAAACATCATAAATAGATATATCCATATTTAAAGCGCAATTTCATTAAAATTTTGGATCCAATTTTTATTTTATACAAGATTATAGGTTTATTATAAGTTATGGCGAGGAATTAATTTTTTCAAACTTTTTTTAAACTTTGAAAGCATAAAAGTGTTTTGTCATTTTTATAAGGGAGACAATAGGGCGCGGCACGGGTACGATGAGGTATACTAAAAAATATATCTACACTCGGCATTGTAAATGAGAGAAGTATGAGATCCTTCAGTTTAGAAGAGTAGACTACCTGGTACTACATACGTGGGTGGTCCCATCTTTTCTTGTATATATTATTAACACCAATGATAACCAGACACACATGAAAAAATGACTCTCACTCCTATATATATAAACCCTTTATATCAGACTCTATCATCACACTGGAAAAAAAAATTTATTTGATTCAACTATACTCGATTACTTGACTATTATTAAATAAATATTTATTTCTATATCAAATAATTATTAGAGTCAATTAAATGGTATATTTGCTTCAAATGTAGAAATTATTGGTTCAAATACAATTTATTTAATTCAAATAAAAATTATTTGATTCAAGTAAATGTTTATTCGGTTCAAGTAAATATTTATTTGATAATAGTCGCAAGTAATGAAGCATTTCAATAAAATAAATTTTTTTTTCAGTACATAATCAGAGGATCCACTAAAAACAATAAAAAATTTTCCCTAATTATTTTCTGATATGCGCGTTAAAATATATCAGTGTTTTTAAGGTTTCTAATTATTAATTTATTTTTTAGTATTTTTATAGTAAAATTTCCTTGGAACAAGAAAATATTGAATCAAATTAAGTATTTTCTTGCTTCAATACTATTTTTTCCAATGGCAAATAATTATAATTTATTATTGATAAGCCAAAAGTTCTGAATGTTCAAATGAACAAAATATTTTTTTTTTCAATCTATAAATTATTAAAAATTATAATGGCAATGTAAAATAAAACAATAAATTTTAAACAACTATTAAATTAAATAACTTCTTTTTAGATATTTAAAACAATATTTTACAATAAAATGCATATATTTAAAAAAGTTGTAAAAAAAAATTATTTCGTTTGAACTTCAAAACTTTTGACTCATATATTTATATTGTAATTAGATTATAAACTCACCGATCGGTGCGAATATCCCATAATTGCGTCCCATTCTTCTCAAAGCACTTCTGTACTGTCCATAAACTGAAAAAATAAAAAAAAAATGGTTAAAAATTACAACTAATTATATTTTTTAAGCATAAAAACTTAATGTATAATTAAAATTAAAATCAATGTTCAAGATTCGAAATATTTTAAAAATTCTAATATTTTCAAAAACTTATTGCAAAAAAAAAAAAACATATTTTTACTTATTTTGGAAAAATCAACACAAAAAACAATATACAATGCAAATTAACATAATAATAAGAAAAAGGTAATATTGGTATTTTTTGTAAACCCCCTCCAAAAAAAAAAGAAAGAAAAATATTCAATTTTCATGAAATTTTTGTGATACGTGATATTCTTGAACTTTTCCCTCGGGTCCTTTATTGTCAATCATTGTTTTTGAACGTGACCAAAGGACCGGCACACCTGATTTTACGAGAAGACGCGCGGCTTTCTTTAAGAAAAAAAAAAAAAAAAAAAAAAGAAAAAAATTGACTTTTGCTCGGGATTTCGTTTGTTATTCGTGCGCGCGTTAAAACAACAAATCTCAAGGAGTTACAAAAGGCAAACCTTTTCTTATAATCGTATATATGACAGGTATTTTTAGCTCACACAACTCGCACTATATATATTTCAGGAATCCCTATATATATATATATATACGATCCTTGGAAATATTTTTCTAGGATCAAAAAATTATAACTATTCTTCGAAATTTTTATACACGGAGCTTTAAAAAAATTGCATTTTACATTACCACAATTAAAAATATCAAAAAAAATTGGAAAAGAAAAGATCTTATTTGAAAAAAATATAGAATTATTAAAGAGATATAAGCAAAAAATTATAGATTATGTTTATGATAGTTTTACCTTGATTAAAATTTTCTTTTTAATTATAAAATTAGTTTGTTTTTTTATGTAATGAAGAGACTAAAAGATCACAATGTTATATGTAAATTGAGAGCTAATCCTCTTTTGTATATATATATTTTCACTCTAAACTATATCATAAACATAACCTATATTAATTTTTTGCTCCTTAGGTCCCTTTCTTTAGTGCGCGTCACATATATACATTTTCTCAAAAGAATTTTGGAATTCCCTATATATAATATTTTCAAACGTGACCTATTCTCACAGCTTATGTTTAATATCTTATAACAACAAACAAACAATACCAAATTGCTAAATCACTACAAATCCGATGAAAAATAAAAAAAAATTTCTCTGCAAATTTATTTACCCAAAATTTACTCTCTATAAATTAATAAAAAATTTGTTCACTAATTTTAAATTAATGAAAATTTCTATTTATATATCTTTATAAAAAAATTTGAATAAATAAATTTCCCTCAAATAAATATTTATAATCTGTCAATTGAAAAGTGGGTAAAATTGTATACATACGGTTTTGTGAAACATCAACAAATATTATTACAACAAAATGAATTCTAAGAAATCGTTAGCAAAAACTGAAAAAAAAAAATGCAAGCGGTTTTTCCATTGCGTAAACGCCCATTGCACAATATTTCTATTACTTTCATAATTTTCACCCTTTCCCTTAATTTCTTGGGTTATATCTATATAGTATTGGATTTTCAAAAATGTGCACAGATTATAAAGGATTTGTATAAAGGAATCTATACGTGTCTCTCGGCTTAGGATAATCCCCCCCAATACAATAAAAGCGCCCAAAAAGATAGCATCATAGTATAAACAAGAAAGATGTCGCGATGAAATTCTTATATGCATTTTGCCACACTTCTTTTTCACTATGAAAATTATATACTACCTACTGAAAATCTTTATCTTAATTGCTTTCGTCCTTCTAAAAAAAAAAAAGAAAAAAAAAACAGCAAAAAAAATAAACTTACTCAAAACTTCCATAAGATTTTTTTTTTTTCAAAAAGAAAAACGTGATTTCAATTTTGGGATTCTTATAAGAAGATTTAGGATACTTAAGAACTTTGAATTTAGTCTATGGTGGTGGAAAAAAAAAAAATCATGATTCGGGTGTGCCCTATCAGTTGCACCAAGAAACAGGCGTGAAATCACATTGAGTGCGTGCTTTCACAGAGTTTTCCCAGATTTGCAACCCCAAATTATTGACCCCTCACCTTTTCTACCCTCTCACATACAGCCAATGGATCTAATAAAAATAATAGACTATCCCCTTTTCACACTGCTATGTGAATTTCTTTTTTTTTTTTTTGCTCTAATCGAAGCTGCATACTCTATATATATAGAAATTAGAAAGATCCTCCCACGCGTCAACTCGTAAATTTTCTTTTTATCACATTGAGAATACATAAATTATAATATTTAAAATAAATTATTAAAAAATTAATGAAAAAAAAAATTTATTTGATTCAAATACTTGATTACTTGACTAAATATTTACTTGAACCAAATAATTTTTATTTGAATTATAAAAAAATACTTTCAGCAGTCAGCGCTGTACTAACATATTAAATTTTGAACCGCGATCGGTAATATATATTTATTTAACTTTAGCCTATTGGCCCAGAAGTGTACTTGGTTTACAATGTTCCAACGTTACACAAATTCATATACCTATATATATGTTTCTACATTTTTTCATTTCTTTCTAATTTTTCCTTTTCCTTCCACAATTTTTTTAACTATTCCAACCTTTATATTTCCATAACTACAAAATATGTTAAGCTAATCAATCTTTTTTCTTCGTCATCATCCAATTCAACAAACCAATCTTTTGCAACTTCACAATCTTTATAGTGTTCTAGATAATCCCAATCTTCATAACAAAATATACATTTTCTTTTTTCTTCGTCCAACCAATATTTTCTATAATTTTCAAAATTTCCACATCTTAATTTTGCAATTAAACTGAATTTATTTCCTACATTATTATCTGTTAAATACTTTGGCCTTTCATTGTTTTCTTTGATAACCTTATGCCTATATATATGTTTATACTTTGACGCATCAATTCTACTTTCTTCTATCTGTCTTTGTACATTACTTTCTGTTAATCTAATATCCTATCGCTAATATCACTTATATCACAGTTTCGATTCATTAATCTCTCTATCTCCTCTATTCGTAAACCATTCCTATTGTAATATACTTTTCTACTCTTTTCCATATAAAGTATTCCAACCTTCTTCTTTTAAGGGGACTTTCTGGTTTAGAATTCCAAAAATATAAATTTTCTAAAAACTTAGGTAACTGCAGAATGAAAGATTTCGAGAAAAAAGCGAAAAACTGTTTAAACTTCATTGATATGTACCGCAAAGGCTAATTAAAATTTTTAAATGCCGTTTTGTTCCTTCGATTCGTCTAAATTTATTCTTTTTAATTATGTAAAAATAAATGTTGTATTTGTTTAAACATTCAATAAATTATTAAAAATGTAGTTATCGGTATGCTGATTCGAGAGTCGTCGCACGAGAAACTTAGGTAACTGGTAGTTACTTGGTCCCTCGTGCTACGAGCACCCGTATTAGGCATTTCGTCGCACAGAAAACTTAGGTAACTACAGAGATTATATAAGAATTTTCATCTTTCTTGGCAAAAAATAGTAAAAATATATTAAATAATAAACTATAATTATTTAATAAGCTGCCAAAGTTGTCACTATATAATTATTGTTTTTTACAAATATTTAATTTTATGGTTAAATTTATTTTAATTATACAATATTAAAGTCAAATATTGTATTAACTCAGAATATATTAAATAATAATATAAAATAAAATACATAAATAAAATTAAAAAAATAAATTAAAAAATAGTAAAAATATATTAAATAATTATAGGAAATAAAATAAAAATAATATAAAAATAAATAAAAAAAAATAATAAATAATAAAGTGTAATTATTGTTTTTACAAATATTAAACTATATGATTGAATTTATTTTAATTATACAATATTAAAGTCAAATTATTGTAGGTAATGTAGTTCGCTGCTTTATTAACGTTTATTTAAATAATTAAAAACGATTTTAATTTTTTAAATAATTTAACTAAATTAATCATATATGTTTTGAGAAACTAAGGCACTGTGCAGTTACTTAAGTTCTTAAAATAACGACCTACAAAATACGTCACAACACCCAAAGACACCCCAGTTTTTATAGCAGTTACCTAAGTTTCTCAAATTATCACTCATCAATTTTTGCAGTTACCGGTATTTTTAATTATTTATGCAAAAATTATTATTAATAATATTAAAAATTTTTTAAAATAATTTGCATTAACAGGTGTATCTTTTTTCCACGATTCCAACGATATAAAAACTCATTTTTCGATTTTTTTGCAGTTACCTATAAGTTTTTAGAAAACACGGCAGTACTGTCCCAAAACGTTTTTTAAAAAATATGTAAAAAAAAAACAAAAGTTATAATCAAAAATTGTTTGATAGTCCTGGCTCAATGTATATTATGTTATGAAAAGTTTAAACGCGTTTTTCTCGAAAACATATATTTTTCAAACTGGTGCACGGCTTTTCTCGAAATCTATACTGAACCAATTTTAAAAAACTAAAAACCATTCGATTCCTTAGTTATAAAAAACTAGAGAATAAACCTTTGAAACTTCATTTTTTTACCCCGTTTTTTTATAAGGGGGTAAATTGCCCAAAAATACGGTGTTTTTTTCGAATTTTTAAGAAAAATGTTCATAAATAAATAAAAAAAAAAACCTTCTAAAAAATTGTTTTTTTAGTTTTATTGTTTAGAATAAACCCTTATGAAGAGATTCGCGTTTGAAATTATATATATTACAGGTTGTCCGCAATCACCTGTACCAAAAAAAGGCATCTTTTAGGAAGACGCCACCTACAGCTAAGAAATTGAACTAAATACACTCAAAAAATTATTTTTTTCTTAATTTTCTTTATGTAATTTGCAATAATGTCCAAAAAAAATTTTTGCAATTTATTTAATACTTTTCTTACAACAAAAGTTTTAAAACGTGTATACTTTTTTTGTCAATTCTAAACCATAAAGTCCCCTTAATTACTGCCAACATTTCTTTACTAAACTAAAAAAAAAAACTAAAAAAAAAATTCATTTCCAAATTTGATAAAAATGGCATAGAGATTAAACCTATAAAGTAATCGAATAAGAAAAAAAATCTTGAAAATATGACTTAATTATTGAGTTCTAGCTGATCGATCATCATTTTTAGTATATACAATAAATAAGTTTTAAAGTATTTGGTGCGCATTGGTTTCCTATAATATATATTGCAGAGTTGGCATTTATATCAACGCCAATTTTTCTGACTGACTCCTTAGACCTCAATTGTCACGTTAAAAAATACAACTAAATTTTTTGTAATAAAATTTTTGCCAATAAATTAAAATATTTACCCTTAATAACGAATTTTCAGCTTCAAGGATAGATATTTCTTTCAAACTAAATAGCCCTCGGAGATCCCTACTTTCAAGTTAAATTTTCATTCAGAAAATGTGAAAAATAACCGTAAAAATAGACCGAGTTCTAAAAAGTCTGAATATGAAGAATTGTGTCCTTCAAGATATCCTTTTTTATACTTTTGTCCTTATCTTTCACGTACGTGTGACATCACAAGCCATCGAGGATAGAATCTGCAAAAAGAATAAATAAATTTTAATAAAAAAAATATATATATACATAACAATATTCACTCTTTCTCAATATATATATAGAAAATAAACTAACAATCAAAAATTGCAAATATAATATGTTTTCACTCTGCTTCGCACACGTTTACGCGCTCTCACTTGATCAAATTACCAACAGTTATTTAATTCGTGCAAACAAATTTAAACAGAGAATACAATTATTGTCACAATCAACTTATCAAGATACACGATATATATATATTACTTTTCGCGATATGAAACCGTAGTGTTGTTCGTGACATAAAAATAATAATGTTATTTAAAAAACTGTCTTGTAAATAAAATATTTACAAGAAAAATAATCAATGACTCTTGTTTTAAAGATATTTCATATAAAAATTTCAAATATAGAATCAATTTTAAAGAAAGGAAAAAATTTGTTTATAAAGGTAATAAGCGAATTATGAAAATAATAATTTTAATACAGATGTAAAAATAAATTGACTCAACTTGCGCGGTAAGATGTATTTAGTTAATAACGATTTATTTGTTCGTGAATAAGTCAAGTGTTCCAACAAACTTTATTTATCCCAAATAAAAAGTTATTTGCTTCGAATCAACACATATATCTTCTTATATACCTCTGATGTATATATATATATATATATATATACATAAAAAGTTCTTCAAAAGTAAATCTATTATTGCATTTATTTAATATGGATGATGAATAAATATTTTCCAAGATACTTTCAATTATACACGCGCATATGTTTCCATTATTTAATAATTGATTATAAATTCGCAAAGCAAAAATATTTTCATTTCCCACAAATTCATTTTTTTGTTTTTTTTTTTTTTTTTTGTAAAAGTGAAAAAGAACATTTTTTTTTAAAGAAATAAATCGATAAAAAAGTATAATTAATTTTCATTAAAAGAAATTATCCTAAAGAGTGATTAAATATTTTATGAATGAAACATGAGAAATAAACAAAAATTCGGCACGAGCCACCGTCATCTTTTGTGATCTTTAACGATGCGATTTTATATAATGACTGTCCGGGAGTCATAAATTATTGTATCTCAAAATTCTTTTCAAAAAAATTTCATCTATTACAAATCTTTTGGTCCTTATTTTTTTTTTATGACTCAGTTTAAATAACTAGATATAAATATTAGTCACGCAATAATTATATATCTGTTTAGAAAATGATACAAATTATAAAAAAATAATAGTATTCTAAGATGACGTGTTATTTAATCTGATAGGAAAAATATTCTATTATAGAAAAGGATCCTTTATTGTCAACAAATTATCAATTTGTTTGGTGTCAAAGGAAAGAAAGAATAAATGAACAAAAGATTGAGTCAATCTTTGGGGAAACTTTCTCTCTTTGACTCAATGATAATAATATGAAAAGCGCGTATCTTAAAAATGTGTTTTTCTCATATTAAGATAAAAAAAAATTCCACTCGACAAAATAATAGACATTTAATTTTTACACAGAATCAGAAGTGAAATGAAATTCTTTTTGTCTATTAAAATTAATAATCACTTTTTTTTATGTTGCATAATCACGTTTACTTTCTATTATACTGAAAATAGAAAATTTCAGTTAAATATTTGTTTCAATTTTTTTTTTTTTGTATTTTTTGAATAAATGAGAAAATTTTTAACTTGATATTTGGTATTTGGAGTTTCATACTCAACAAAAGCTGCGTTCCACAGTTATGTTAAACTACGTGCGGATCGATTGTGCAAACAAACGAACCATCCCCTCGTTTTGAGTCTCTCATCCTCACTCTCTCTCTCTCTCTCTCTCTCACTCACTCTCGTCACAATTCCTTCTTTTATATTTCAGTATCGCTAAAGCGATGAAAAAAAAAAAATTTCAACCATAGTGAAAAATTGAAACAAACGTAGATTTCAATTTTTTAAAATTACAATTAAAAAAAACATGAATATTAAATATTTTGATTGAAAATACAAAAAAAAAAATAATAAAAAATTTCTATTATTTATAAATTTATTTGTTTATTTATTGAAAAAAGTGATTTTTTCAAATATTTATAATTTAATGAACAAATTTTAACAAATTTATTTTTATAAAAAAAAAATAAAAAAGAAATAAAAAAAAATTATATCATAAGAGTGAGCAGGTGGTGAATGATACGTCGGATTAAATTAGCAACGATTTCTTGACGAACCCCCTATGTACTATATATATCTTTCATACGTTAACTCGAGATCGTGTTAAGTCGATTTTAATAATTCTAACTCTATTCAATGACTAGCAGTTCACAAACGTTTTTTTTATATAATTATCCATATCACGGACTTTCTACACATATAAAAAAAAAAGAGATGGAAAATAGTTTAAATGTGAATAGTGAATCGTCATATTAAATATAAATTGATTCCTTCAACAATGAATGCGAGAAAAAAATTATTTAATCACATATAATTGTAAAATTGCTATACAAATAAAAATAAATATTTAATATATTTTGCCAAATTTTTATTTAATCAAATTAATAGTTTACCATTTTTTATTAAGTTAATTTTAATTTATCAGAATTAATATTTTTCTACTTTATGAAATTTTTATTATTTTTAATTTAATCGAATATATTTAACCAAAATTATTAAATTTATTTAACCGATTTTTTTTTGCTAAATTTTTATTTATAACTAAAATTTTTATTCAAACGAACTAAAATTTAATCGAAATTATATATTATTTAACAAAATATTAAATTTATATTTAATCGATTTAATATTTTGCCAAATTTTTATTTAACAGAATTTTTAATTAAAAGAATTGCAAATTAATTAAATTTTTGTTTCACACAATTTTCATTTAAAAAAAAAATATTTATATAAACGGTAAGAAAAAGAAAATTTATTAAATATGAAATTTCAGTTAAATAAAAATTAATGTTTTTAATTAAATTTTAATTAAATTTAATAAAAATTAGTAAAAAATTAATATTCGCCGAGAACAAAAAATATTTAGCTTTGACAAATAATAATAACTATTTTTGGGGATAAAAATTCCCTTGCAGGAAAAATTCTTCTAAATAAAAATTCGATTAAGAAATTTTTCCTTAAATAGAAAAAAAAAAATGAAAAAAAATTTGCTAATTAATTTTTGATTAAATAAAATAAATAAAAGTTCACCGCTATTTTAATTATAATATCAATATAAATAATAAAAACTTCAACAATTGAATATAATTTCGAACTAATATATTATATATATATATATATATATTTTGGTAAATATATATTCATGCGTCTCCAAAATTTATATATATATTTATTTTCTTTTTTCCGTTTATCGCGCATACAAAGAAATAATGGAATGGATAAATATAAACTTTATTATATTACGAGAAACTGATGTTAAGAGAGTTGTGAAAAATTATTATAACGATAAAACATTTTGGAAGATCTCTTTGTGTTTTTAAGAAAAAAAAAAAAATAAAGTAATGACAGACCGCAGTTGTAAAATGATAATCTATTTATAGTGGCGGTATTCTTTTTTGATCGTCTTTTTTCTAAGTAACAATTTTCGACTACTTTGAAAATATTAGAAAGATTCTATCTTATATATATATACGCACCGCACTAACAGTTATAAAGTATAAACTCACAGCAGACCTAACACTAAGGTGTCATAAATGCAGATAAGAGAGAATAATGGGCTTTCCGGTTTTTACGCGCGCGGTGGAAAGCATAATTTACTTTACGACATATGTAAAACTTGCGAAAAAGGTATATCAAAAATAAAAAATTCGTCTCTTTTAAACGCACTCTAAATAAATTATATCTCAAAAAAAAAAAGAAAAAAACAATTGCTCAATTGTTATTGAACAGAAAAATTTTTTTTTCGTTTAAAAAATAAAAAAATTAAAAACAATTTTTTTTTAAATTATTGAAAATTTTTTCCTAATGCTGCGAATGATTGGTAAAAAATCGGAAATTAATTTTAAATCAGTATTTAGCTTTTATAAAAAGTGTGTTTTGAAAACTACCCGCACACTTTTAATATAATATATTTTGGGAGTTTTCAGAAAAAAAAAAAAAAAAAAAAAAATGTATTCCAACATGGGTCGATTGTAATAACTCTCGAGTTCAGTGGTTCTCCCTGAAGTATGTATTTCTATATATCACGTGGGGGTCTATATAAAAACACTTTATTCGTGTAGTAAAAAAAAAAAGAAAGAAATAAAAAAAACTCAATTTCAACCAAAAGGTCACTTTTTTTTTCATAATAATGTTTCGAGAAACACCAAAGGGACGTCTGAGATTTAACTTTCCTATACTCAGGATATAAAAATCCCAAACGAAATCAAATTTTTATAAATTAAGTTTCTGACCTTTTCCCTTATGCATTTTATAAAAGAGAAAAGAATCAAAAATAGAAATTAAATTAATATTAAAATAAAGAAAATGTTTTTAAATAGAATTTTTTTTATTTATAACTTTTAATTCGAAAATAAAAATAAAAAATAATTATGAATTATTTTGCAATTATTATTAGAATAATTAATTTAAAAATTAATTTTTAATTTTTATAATATTTCAATTGTTAAAATATATTTTCTTATAATCCGTGTTATTATCACTATCAACAGAAATTATTTTTTGTGTTTCAGGGGATCTTTGCGAGAGTGGAGACACTGACTATAATATATATATATATATAACCGAAGATACATATACGCAAGAAAAACACTATTCTCTTTCAGTTAATCATAACAAGAAGTACATCCAACCTTTACCAAATGTTTAGAAGAGAAATGAGACTATATAAGACAATATTTCTCTACTTGATATAATTTTCGACTATAAATAAAATGTATCAAAAGAAATATTTATCATAATAATGATAAAAATTATCAATTTCGATTTTTGAAAAAATTGTATTTGAATTATGTAAAAAAAAAATAACTATTTTTAATAATAAATATTAATTTTAAATTAATATTTCCAATTGTAAAATAATTCTAAATAAAATTTATTTTATATATATATATTTTATTAAATTTTAACTCACCCAGTTATTTATTTATTGAAACACCATTAATTAAAATTTGCTGCATTGAATAATATCCCACGACTATAAAACCTACAAAAAAAAAATAAAAATTCATAAAAATATTCTTAAAAGAATGCTTAATTTTATATCAACTATTAATAAAAAATTTTAATTAAAAAATTAATTTTCTATAATTTATTTATTATTTAAGTAAATAAATAATTTTTATGTAAATAAAATTTTAGTGTAAAAAATTTTTTATAAATTTTTTTTTCAACAATTTAATTCAACGAAATAAAATTACTTGCATTATTTGTAATTTTTTTTTTTTTTTTTTTTTTATCTCTTAATACAAGGCAAAAGTTTCCTCATTTTTCAAGTTATAAAAAATTGTTCTAAAGATATACTGCAATGTGTTTCTCTTTGCACAGTAATGGGGATTTATACAATTAACCTACTTAAGTTCAAAATAAGATAAAAATAAAAAAATAAATAAGTTGACGTTTTTTTTTTAAATTTTCGAATTGACAAAAAAAAAATTAAATATACATTTTTTGCTATTATTCAAATAATATAAAAATATTTTTTAAAAAAAGGAGAAAAATGAGTTAAAAAATATTCTTAATATATATATATATAGGAAAGAATAATTTGGTTTATTACGTTCAATTAAGAAATTAAGTTTCTAGAGGCAAGAGGAAATATAACCAGCCATTGCTTCGCATGATGAGGCTAATGGAAGGTTTGAAACCTGAGAAGCTATATTAAGAGGAGGAAAGAGGCCGAGGGAGAGGCCCTGACAACCTCTAAGTGACCCAAAGCTCTTTTTCTCTCTCTGTATATTATATCGACAACCAGACCCCTATTTTATTCCTTCACATCCCTTTATATATATATATATGTGAAATTTAATATAACCGATCACATACGCACTTAAAACGGGCATTTACCTTTTTTCTCCCTCAAAATAATCCCTTAAATTCCAAAATGCCCTCTTGCTAAAATATATTTTAATCGGACCACTAATATAATTATTATTAATAAAAAAAAAAAAATTAACACAAATTATTTTGAGGTTATGATTATAAAACTAAATAAAAAAATTTACAAGTTGCAAAAATAAACCCTTGTAAAATGTAAAGTAAAAAAATTTTTTTTTTTTAAATCAATATTAATAAATATTAATTGTATTTTTTTTTTACTAACAATGGCTATATCACTATATTTGATAGAAATTATATATATATAATCAGCGATTGTAAACCTAATTGAAATCACTGAGACAATTGCAAGTGAGGGAAAAAAAAATTTTTTTTTGCAACATAACCTCAAAATTTGGAATCGATATTTAAAAAAAAAAACATTTGTTCCAAAAGTAATTCAGAGAAAAATATTATTTACTCCTGCAATTTAAAAATGAGAATAAAAAAAACGGATGGTCCGTCCTCATCGGTCACCACCTGGCAATATCCTAATCAAACATAGGTATACAAAAATTGTACGCAAACAAATATTATATTCACCCGTCAAAAGAAGCTAAAAATAACTTCATGGAATTATGAACAATTTGAATGTGCTTTTAAAAAAAAATTCAAAAACATAATTAATATCTCAAAAATATACACAAATTGTCTCATCGACATATGATTATTAACCTTGATTTTCCCCCCAAAAAAAATTTTCTGACAAAGTACAACGGATTGCCTACTTTAAGGAGGCAGTAACAAGTACATACAATAATCAGAATTTTACCTTAATTTATAATATTTATACCAATATACAAATATTTTACATTAAAAAAAAAAACAAACAAAAATATTCAATAAAATAACAATTCGTTAACAAGATAATAAATTATTCACTGATTGCAAAAATGTAAATGCGATTTTCAATCAATGTATTGCAAGGACAATATCTTACCATATATAACTAAATACATCAATATTTGTATTTAGATTATAGTATTCATCACAATTGTTCATCATTGAGACAATTTTTACAATGAAAATTAACTAAAATAAAGTCATAAATACTCACGTGGAAAGAAAACTTTGAATGGAACAAAAAGACGCCGCCTGCCTGCGCCGCCGCCATCTTGGATAATGTACAATCGATAGTCGCAGCGTTCGAGACATGTTTCGAGATACCAACTTCAGAGCACTCGTGACGTTAACCTAAAAACGTCAGTATTATTTGTATTTCATTTCAACATTGACATTTTATTATTATTATTATTATTAATTAAACACGCACTTTGCTCTTTTCCAGAGTAGAATATTTGAATATGCGTGTTTAAGTTTCTTAACATTTTAAATTGGATTTCAATAGAATTAATATTGTAAAATAAAATATAAAAAAAAAAATGGGAAACAGCTCCAGTTTATTATTGCGAGAAGAAGAAATTGCTCAAATTCAGGAAGCAACTGGATGTTAGTATTACAAAATTATATTTATCATTATTATAATTGTAATTTAATCTCATAATAATGTCATACTAATTATATAGTAATTTTTTTTGTAATAGAAAAATTATATTTTTATTTACAAATAATTGTCATTAAAAATTACGTCATTTTAAAAAAAGTTTCACTAGATCAATAATATTTCTTCTTTTTATATCAAAATAGATATTTACTTTATATAATTTGTTAATTTAATAGTTTGTTTGTTTTTTTATACAAAAACAATTTAGTTACTCCGAATCAAATTGAACGTCTCTATAGTCGATTTACAAGTCTTGATCGCGGTGATTGTGGAACATTGAGTCGTGAAGATTTTTTGAGAATACCGGAATTGGCAATAAATCCATTGGGTGATAGAATTGTAAATGCATTCTTTGATGAAAGTGGCAATGATCGAGTAAATTTCCTTCAATTTATGCAAGTACTTTCGCACTTTAGGCCTATTAAAAAAAATAGTCCTAATCGTCTTAATTCCAGACAGGAGAAATTAAGATGTAAGTCAAGAAAATTAATTAACTAGTTTTTTTTTTAAATTTCTGCTTTCTGTGTAAAATAATTTTATTTTTCTTATAGTTGCATTCAAAATGTACGATTTGGACAATGATGATTTAATATCAAAAGAAGAATTATTAGCTATATTACATATGATGGTTGGGGCAAATATAAGGTAAAAAAAAATACAGAGAATAATTATTAACTGAAAAAAAATATATATATAAAAAAATAATAATTTGTTTAGTGAGGAGCAATTAACGAGTATTGCAGAGCGTACAATTTTAGAGGCAGATGAAAATGGCGATGGAATGATATCGTTTGAAGAATTTTGTAAGGCACTTGAAAGAACAGATGTCGAACAAAAGATGTCAATACGATTTCTCAGTTAAATTAAAAAAAAAAAATTTTTTTCTTTAATTTATTTTGTCAAAGCACAGAAAAAAAAGCTATATTTTCCTTTCATTGCAATGAAATTAAATTATAAATTAACGAGCAATAAATTAATTGCAAGCTTTTTTTTTTTTTTTGGTGGAAATACAGAAAAAAAATATATGCATTTGTAATGGTACAACTAATAGACGAATTGTATTTATAAAATACCTTCGAATTATTTATTAAAAGTGATTGTATTTTATTTCGTATTATACTTAATATAAAAATAAAATACTGTAAATGTGTACAAAAAAAAAAAAAGAAAAATAGTTAAAGTTTGTGAATTATAATAATAAATATAATATAAAAACGAAAAAAAAATTTCTAAATTTTTCTTTATTGTAAATAAAAAAGTCAATTTTTTTTTATCAATAATTATTTATTTTTATAATTTTTTTTTACAATACGAATTTTTTAAAAAATGCATTGTGGTACATTACACATTGGAATAAATTCATGACAACCTTAATTTCCTTATTAATATATACGTAAACTTGATTCTATTAAATTTAAATTAAGATTTATAATTACAATATAAATTTCATTTTCTCTTTCTTTGCTTATAGTTCTGCAATAATCATAAGAATTTAAATTTAAACAGTGGACGAAACGGCTAATTTTTTTAGATGCTCCATAAACACTTGAAGACTTACATCGTCTGTTAAAACAGGAGCTCCACTTTCCTAAATTAAAAAAAAAAATCATTAGAGAATAGAAAAAATATGAATTGAAAAGCAAATTTATCACAAAGCCCCTTCACCTTTCTAAAAATAAATAATTTGAACATTTATGATACATAAAGGTTAATAAATAATTAAGATAATTTTTTGTTAATATGAATGAGAGGCGATAATATATATAAAAAAGCCGATGTTAATTATGTACATAATTAATAATAATTCGAATGATAAAGGTTTTAAAAGTCAATGTTAGTTTCAAGTATAAATAATTAAAATTGATTTTAAAATCTCTAAAAAAAAAAAAAACATTTCACCAAAAAGTTCCCAAAAAAAAAGAATTTAAAAAGAAAAAAAGGAATTTAATTTTTTAAAATAAACACACCCCGCTAGGAATCGGCATCCCCTGGTTCACAGGATCATGGTAACATAAAATATCATTAAATCAAATGATTGGAATGATAATGTTACAAAAATTAGATTCATTTTACGATTTTGATTATGATTCATTCAATTGTTTTTATTCTTTTCTATCAAAAATTACTTTAAAAAAATAGAATTTAAATTAAATTCTAAGATTTAAAATACAAAAATTTATCAACTTACCGCTCCATAAGCATACATATTATTATGCGTTTGACTTGGATTCACTTTACTCAAAAGAAATCGTGCTTGTGAACCTCCTTGTTCAGTGTCAATATACCTGGGAGCTGGAAATCTTACTGCTAAAATTTCATCGGCATCATCTTTTGGTGCAGCAAGTAATTGTCGAAAATTCTCATACTCTGGAAGATCTTGATACTTTGATTGTCGCCACTGGGCTATTGTCTAAAATGATTAAAAAAAAAAAAAAAATGCTCAGTTTTTTTTTCTTTGTGTAAAAAAAAAGACAATTCATAAAACCTACTTCTCCGTGGAATATTAGAATTTGGAAAAATGTGTCCATTAAAAGAATTCTATCAGGTTGAATTGATGAAGTGTCAAGTAAAACTGGTTCAGGTGGACCACCAAAACCATAACTGTACAAAATCGGCTGAACCATTATCAAAGAATTTGTTAAGTCTTCTCTCATCAACATATGCCTGCAAAAAAAAAAACATTCTCCTCTTAGTAAATTGATTTTTATAATTATTTAATTATAAACTAATAAAATTCATATATTGTTACCTATAAAAACTTGTTTCATCCGGAGAATTATTAAATACTTGAAGAAATTGCGAACGACGAAGATGATACATAAATTGTGGATATAAAGAGAAATTTTCAGCGAGTCTAAAACTATTTGGATCATCTTTTGAATATTCTCCAAACTTTTGACACTAAAAAAATAATTTACAAAATAATTAAATTTTAATTTCAAAAAATTTTTTTTTTCAAATACAAAAAAAGAACTTACGAGTCTAATAAGCATTCTATCAACCCAACGAAGAACATCAGCTCCATCATCAGATTCACTTCTAAATACTGCTAATCTCGACATTAAAACTGCAGCTGCCTCTTGATCGAATCCTGCGCTAACATGATGTAACGACGTCGATGCATCCACCCAACTAAAAATAAAAATTAATTTTTTTTAAATATATTCTTTTTTTTTTAAATTTAATTATCACTTACTTTCTTGCAATTGTCGTGACACGAATTCTCCTCTGTCCACTACAATGTTGATATTGTGTGATAAATTGAATACATCCCCTTCCACCCTGTGGAATTGGTGCCGCTTGTTGATTGACAACATCAAAAAATAATGCCGTCGTTGTTGATGGTGTTAATGAACAAAATTTCCATTGACATGTACCACCTAATCCAACTTCTTGATCGGCAACACTTGCTCCTTTAACGCCAAGCGATACGCATGGTCCAATTGCACCGCATACTTTTATTTCACGTGATGTTTTTATTTCGAGTGTTGCATTAAATGCCATTTTTAAATCACCCTTTGAATCTTTAGCAAAAACACGTTGCCACGTTTGTTTAAATAATGTTGAATTAAATGAATCGCCCATTACCATATGACCACCCGTTGAATTACAACATTGACGCATTTCCAAAAGACCCGTTTGATCAAGTGCACATGAATAAATATCAATAACATGACCATTTGCAGCTGCACGGGCAGCTAAACCGTCATAATGTTTAGTTGCTTTCTTCAAATGTTTTGCATTGTCCTTGTGAATATCGTGATGTGATCTTATTGGTTGACGAAGATCGTCAGTGACAACTTGACCAGGACCTTGGGAACATGGTCCTCCAACGAAAAGCATGATTCTAAAAGAAAGAAAAAAATGAAATAAATTTTTTTTTTTTTTTTTTTTTGTGGCTTTTTTTTACCTTGCGCCAGTATTTGCGTAGCTAGCCTCGAGTAATCCGGTTGCAACCGCGAGTGCAACGCCAGTTGAACGAAGATACCGTTTTCCTGACGCTACGGGCCAAGGATCTTTTTGCAATTCGCCTAAAAGATCCGTTAAGCTCATGTCACATTTGTGAATTGGTTGCAAAAATCGATTTGCAGGTGGCAAAGGCTGTGCGTTTGGTCCCCTTTGTTGATTTGGATTTTGACCCGGTACTGGTCTTCCAATTCCTTAAAAAAAAATAGTAATTTGAAATTAATAATTGTAAAACAATGAAATAAATTAAAATAATAGTAATATTACAAATATTTAAAATACGAACCTAACATATCTTGTATTTGCTTAGGTTGAAGATCCTTAGTACCTCGGAATACATAACTTTTACTACAGCCCTCACAACCTAATTCATGAACTTGGACCATTTTACCAAATGTAATCAAACCAATAAGTGCATTTGGTGGAAGCAATGATAGAGACATTTGAAGAGAATCTTTTAAAGCTCCCAATTCTTCATCATCCATACAAGTATCAACAACAAGTAAAAAAATCGGTGGCAAACATTGTGCTCTCTATTAAATAAAATATTCCATCAAATTAAAAAACAAAAATCTAAAAAAAAAAAAAAAATACTCACCATAATCGTATATTCAATTGTCGAGTACATTGGAATTAATTCGGCAGGTTGATGTTGTTCAGAAATCGCAGCATATTGAGGTGGAAACTATCGACAATAAATATTTTATTAACAATTGATACATAGTTTTTTTTTGTTTTTAATTAAATCAAAAGAATCTTACAGGATTTCTTTGAAAGCAAAAATTGCAAACCCAAAGTTTTGCACGATAATCAACTTGACAGAGGGGATTAAGAATTGCTCGGCAATTTGGTCTATTACATGGTACCGGATCATATTGAATTGCTGGAAGATCGCTACGTTCTTTTATTGGTTGAAAAAGTGTTCCCAATGGTACAACAAGTCGTGTTGCATCAACACGTGACAATGGCCAAACATTCCATGTAAATCGAACACCATCACGATCTTCATTTTGTTGAATAAATTCCTCATAAGTGGTCATGATGCTAAAATTTAAAAAAAAAATACATTTTTCTTTATTTAAAATTAACAAAAATTTAATTTACATATAATATTAATTTGCAATTTATTAATTATTATAATTTAATAATTATAATTTAATTGTTTTAAAATTTATTCCAAACAGATTGAATATAAATAAACGAAATTTTTTTATAATAATAAATAAATCATAGAATAAAAAAAAAAAGAATTTTAATGGAATAATTATTTAAAAAAAAACAATTATTTAAATTATTGAAAAAAAATAGCATAACAATTATAATTGAAAATTTGACATCTACACGTAAGGTGTGAGAAAGAGGTTAGAAATGAAACTTACCTTTTGTTTACAATTTCCTACCGCTTATATGACAAATAACTAATAATTATTATATTTTAAACACTTTTTAGAACATTATTTTTACAACATTTTTCACAAGCAGTTAACAATTTCACTTAATTAAACACACATTCTTTTTTTTTAATGACTCGTGCAGCCGTCACTTGGGCCACGTCACTTGGAAAGTAGAAATTTTAATTGACGACTGTAACCACTAGAGGCGCAAAATTCGTCTGCTTTGCATTATAAACATATTATAAACAAAACGTCAAATAGACAAAACAAATAACAATAACTAAAATATAATCAAATTATGTAAATTGATCTTAAAAATATAATTAAAAAACAATTCAAGTTTGGATAAAACAAAAGTAAATTTATAATGTAACATAACCTCAACTGTCAAAAAAAGAGGCAAATGTCATAATTATTCTAATTAACAGGTATATAATATTATATATATATATATATAAAATTTTTATAAATTAGAACTATTATTTAGAATTATCGTCTCAAAATTATTAAAATTACATTTTACCTATTTTTATTTTTTATATTTTATATTTAAATTCCCCGCCACGATTTTAAAAAACCTTTTTTTTAAAAAACAATTGTTAAAGGTAATATTTTTTAAACAATGAAATTTTTAATAATAATTTTATATTTTCATATTGTTTCTGTGCAAAAATAAAAAAAAAAATTTCTGATTGTAGGACAAATTTATAATTCTGATGACGTAATCAATTCCCCTTCCAATATGCCTGTTAAAAGTTGGAACTCGGACTTTTACCCCAAGCTCCACTCCAGATCATTGTAAATCATTGAAACGATCTGTCTTCAGATATTATATATTTGTATGTCAATTTTGGTATAAATTTTTAAAAATTTAATTTGTCTATTTAAAAAAAATGGCACGTGTTCTTGTTGGAGTTAAAAGAGTAATTGACTATGCTGTTAAGGTAAGAAAAAATATAATTTTTCTATATATAATTATAAATTATTTATAACGACAATAATTTCAATTTCTATATTAATAAATTCTATAACTGTTATTTGTTAATAAAAAGAAATTATTACTTTTTTGCATAGTGTAATTATGCAAGCAAATTTTTTTTTTACTTATCTTCGTTAAGATCAACATAAATGGGAAGGTCAAGAAAAGTTTTTAATAGCTCTATCATATCAAATAAGTTAATTGTTTTATTCTATTTGTAAAAAATTATCTTGTTTTCTTTAATTTTGTTCAGTACTGAAAAATAAATTTTCCATACTTTTTTTTTTTTTTAATTTTAATAAGTATACAATTTATTAAAATAATCAAAATAAATTGATTAATTTAATTAAAATAATTAAAGACAAATTAGAAAAAAAAAATTTAATTCTATTTTTTCGATTAATTTATAATAGATTAGAGTAAAGCCCGACAAGACAGGAGTCGTGACAGATGGAGTGAAACACTCAATGAATCCATTTGACGAAATTGCCATTGAAGAGGCAGTTCGAATGAAAGAAAAAAAATTTGCCCAAGAAGTAATTGCTGTTAGCTGTGGACCAGCACAATCTCAAGAAACAATAAGAACCGCCTTAGCAATGGGAGCTGATCGTGGAATTCATGTAGAAATATCCGGATCTGAATATGAATTATTACAACCAATTCACGTTTCAAAAATTCTAGCAAAATTAGCACAAGATGAAAAAGCCGATATTGTTCTCGTTGGAAAACAAGCGATTGACGATGATTGTAATCAAACTGCTCAAATGATTGCTGGAGTATTAGATTGGCCAACGGGAACATTTTGTAGCAAGGTAAAAATTTAAAATTTAAATAATTCGTAATTTTTTTTTTTTTTCTTTTACTATAATAAATTTCATTTTTAGATTGAACCAGGTCAGGGTGATTTGACAATAACCCGTGAAATTGACGGCGGATTAGAAACAATTAAAATAAAAACACCCGCAGTATTGAGCGCAGATTTACGATTAAATGAACCGCGCTATGCAACATTACCAAATATAATGAAAGCAAAAAAGAAACAAATCAAAAAAATAACACCTAAAGATCTTGGTATTGATACATCACCAAGAATAGAAATTGTATCAATTGAAGATCCACCTGTACGACAAGCAGGTTCAATTTTACCTGATGTTGATACTTTAATCAGTAAACTTAAAGAGGCAGGACATGTTAAATAATAAAATTATTAAATAAATAATTATTAAACATAAAAAGAAATTTTAAAACAAATTTTAAAAAAATTATATATCTATATACAAATTTTGAAAAAGAAACAAATTATTTTTCGATTTCTACACTTTATTAAATAGTGATATATAAACAGAATAACATTTTTGTACATTTTCAGAGATATATATATATAATAATAATAATAATAATAATAATAAAATTGTACATTACACATCCGTTATAAATTTGTACCGCTTGGAGACGTAAAAAATGTCTCAATAAAAATCATATTTTTTTAATAAAATACTCTCTTATACGATTACAGTGTTCTTTGGTAAATTTTCATATAATTATATTATGATGTAGATCAAATCTTCTAACGTTGATGATTTATATATCTGTCTCTAAATATATTTATATATATATATATATAATGTTCCTACAAAAAATAACATTCGAATAATAAATTACTGTCATAAAAATCTTGTTTTACCTAATTTTCTAATTTTTTTAAAATCTTTTCTTCTTTTTTTTTTGAAAATCGAAGTGTAATTGACGTCTCTAAGATTTACAATTTGAAAAAGCGTAAAAGGTGAATGTAGTTAGGGGATAATAGTTGTACGACAAAAATTGACGTCGACTAAAATATGTGATAGATACAGAATTTTTCATTTCCCTTCTGCCTAGCTACATTTAAGGCCATAACATTAAGATTGTTAGTTATATTTCAACAGTATCGTTTTAAAGAAATTTTTTGACAAAAAAAAATTTCTCTAAATCGATTGAAAAAAAAAAGAAAAAAAAACTGAAAGAATGACATTTTTGATTATTTTCTTTTTACTATTAAGATGGAAATATTTCTAACATTAAGATATACAATACAATAATATTCCATTTTGTATAAGAAACAAAAATATTTCCTATCTCTATGTTCATTAAAAAATTATTTTTTTCTACAATCTAATTCACTTTACGGAACGATTTTTCTTTTTTGTTAACAGACAAATTTTTTTGCGTTGAAAATTTGAAGCATTTTATTCTACTTTAATTTTCCATTCATTTTTAAAAAGTACACTTTTTGTGGCATGATTTTTTTTTTACTTATACGATTACGAACAATTTTAATTTAATTAATATTAATTTTTTTAATTAACTGTTGCATTTTTTTTTTTTTTTTTAAGAAAATAAAAGTCGTCAATATTCGATGTTTCGAAGAAAATTCGATTTTTAAATAATAATTTAATTATTTAATGAACAAAATAGTTTTAGAAAAAAAATTGAAATTCCTAAAATTATTCATTTTAAAAAATGTTTCAATGACGACAGTCTTTGTGGTGTTCTTGATAAATACTTATATTTTTTTTTTGTAACTAGATTCTTTAAATATCAAAATCTTTTCCTAGCACCATGATTTTTAGGTAATGTAAAATTTTAAAGTGCTACTAAAAAAATTTAAATACAGAATTCGCTATTTTAAAATACGTTCTAAGAGTGTTTACGAAAAATAAACTGTTTTTTTTGGTAAATAAAAGAAATTTTTCAGAAAATTTATATTGAATAAAAAAAGGAAAATAAATTTAATATTAATTTTTTAAATAATTTAATTAATAAAAAAAAATTAATTTACGAATTTTTCCACTAATTATAGAAATATTTGGATTAAAAATTAATTAATAAAAATTAAATCCAGATTTACTATCAGTAAAACACTCTTATACATACAATATAAATTTCGTATGTCGCGTATTAAATGCATAATCACAATTTGTTTTTAAAACATAGTATCGTTGTATTTTAAAATGTACTATTAATTCATTGGTCTGGACATAAAGTCACATACTAAAATATCACCAATCTACAAAAATTCTGAATTCTTCAAATTGAATCCTAAAATTGTAAATTCACTACTTTGATCACTACATTCTGTAATTAAATTTAAATTACAAAAGACAAAATTTTTAAAAAGAAAGAATATACTGGCACGGCTAATAATAATATCTTGAAAACTTTGAAGAATTCATGTCAAAAATTTCAACTGAACTATTTTCAAAATATAACATTAATAATAATAAAAAAAAAACATTAATTAGCTATAGTAAAAATTTAAATTTAACTAATTTACAAAAAATACTAACATCGAGGAATAATTTAAAAAAAAATTAATCTGAACACAAAAAATAGATTTATCTTTAAAAAAATATTCTTAAATCTGCGATGAACACGTTTTTCTTTTTCTGTTAAATCTCAGAAACATAATAAATTCTATATATATTTATGTGGCTATTAATTATATTTACATTAATATTTTCCAATCGAATCGACTATTACTGGTATGTGTAACAGGTGGAAATGGAGGTGGTTGTAATTGCCAACCATCAACACTTTCACGTGCTGTTAAACACGCTAAATATGGAACTCTTTGTACCAATCTTGTAACTTCAGCAGCCGGTGGTATTTTACCGCCAGTTAATTGTTTAGTGCATGCTGCCAACGATGCGGCATGAGCAACAATTAAAATATTACCCTCACTATTGCCAATAATATCTTTCATTAATGAATAACTTCTCTCATAATATTGTGCAGCATTTTCTTTAGTTGGTAAATTTTCAATTTTTATAATTGGACTATAATTCATATCAATATTAAAGCCAGCTTTTAATAATTCATCGCATGTCATCCATGTTGGTGTTCCATTTGGATACCATGCGAGCCATTCAATTAGACCAGGTTCAATTTTAATTGGCACATTTAAACAACCAAGACCTTTTAAAATTTTTGATAATGTTTGTATACAACGTAATGATGGCGATGAAAATGCAACGTCTATTTTAACATTTGCACCTTTCATTGCCTCACCAACAAGGCTCGCTTGTAATTCACCTAATGTTGTTAATGGACAATCATTTTGAAAGTCTTGTATATTTCTCTGTGGTATTTCTTTTGGCATATTTAAATCGCGACGTATATAACAGCCATTTGATTCAAAACAATAGGGAATCCATGCGCCAAATGTAAAATCAACACGTTCACCATGACGACAGATGAAAATTTGTCTTGCGGCAGTTGATGGTGGTTCCGATGCTTCCATCTATTTGAGAGAAAAAAAAAATTATAATAAAAGTATTTTAAAAAAAAGAAAAAAAACACTTACCGCTTCAGTTTCGGGAGCGATTCCATCGGGTGTATCCAAAGATTCAGTACTTGATAATATAGGAGGCCTTCGACTTTTAGGTATTTCATGCTCTATATTTTCTATTATATTTTCAGTTATTGAAATTGACGTATGTAAAGTCCATGAATCGGATTCAGCTGATCTTTTTGTATAATTCAATGGTAAATATCCTGTTGTTCCAGTTAACCATGATATTCCCTCAACCCATCCATCGAGTGATGAATTCGATGCACCTTCTGGTAAATAAATATAATCACCTGGTCTCAATTCTAATTCATCATGTTGTCTTGGTACATGTGTATGTAAAACACCATGAACATGCATATTTTTTAATCGTGAATCTCTTGAATATAATCTTAATTCCCAATTTATTGCTGTGCTTGATTCCAATTTTTCCACCATTGAACGTAAATGTTGAAAATGACTACTTGAAAATTGATAAGCAAGCGAAAGATGTAATGATTTTGTATGTGGTTCAACATTTATACCAAGATTTATTAATTTTTTACAATATTGGACGGCTAATGATTTCAACCATTCGGCATGTTTATCCTCAACAAATAAACCCATAAAATTTGGCGATATATAAGTTTCTAAATTAATATATTCAGGACATTCATTGCGATTTATTAAATTTTCCAATGCATTCGACATTTTTTCAGCTGATTCATCTGGTGCCTAAAAAAAATTAAATTATTTTATTTTATGGTTTTTTGAAAATAAAAAAAAATTGTGTTATACTTTAAAAAAAGAGATGAGAGTGATGTGTGGCATATAATTGTGAGCTCCATTCCAACCGAGTTCTTTGCTTTCTTTCCAAAATTTTACAAGACTTTCAGCAAATTGTCCAGTTGGACAAGCATATAATACATATTCTCTTGGTTCATCGGAATTTAATGTTGGATCACGAACATGAGCAAGAAGCCAATCCGAAGCAAGTTGAACACTTCGATGTCCCGTTGCTGTCAATGCTTTTTCTCTATTATTCAGAAAAAAAGAAGAAAAATATTTAAAAATTATTATTTCAAAAAATTTTTCCATAAAAAAAAAAAACAAGTAAATTTGAAAAATAAAGGAAAATCTAAATTTTTTGACAGCTGTTTGTTTACAAAATAATTTCGGTCACAATAAATGCTATTACAGCACTGGCAAAATTTTTCGTATTGAAAATTTTTTTTTTATCATCAAACTATATATTATATGTACTTACGCTCTTTGTTTTGGAAATCCTAATTGAAGTAAAATTTGCAAAGGTGTAAGGTGTTCTTTAGAAATTTTTGTTGGAGTTGGATTCTTTCTAGGCGGTAAAGTCGCCATGACATCACTGATAACACACTTTTATAATTGAGCAAAAGTAAAATATTTATACCATCAGAGAGAAAGAGCACACACACACAAAAAAATATAGGTATTTTTCACATTCACTGTTTTAACAATTATTAAAAATTCTTTTTTATATACAATTACTCGCGTATTGTAATTGACACGTGATTAAAGAAATAAAATTGAAAACTATGAAAAATTAGAATCACCCGTTAACTGTGTAGAAATGAAAATTATAATAATATTCCCGTGCGTAAGCGCAATCGTGTAAACAACTTTAAATGATCACAATGCAGAAGTTTCTTTTTTCCAACGTAAGATAGCGCTGTAATATAAAATTTATATCTGCAAGTTTTCTTGTTTACAAATAAATGTCAAATGTCAGAAAAATTTTTTTCAACAAAGTCATATAATATATTCAATAAATATATAAAACAAGTAGGTATTTTTTTGTCGTTAGAAAATAAATGTTTTATTGTTTTTTTAAATTTATAAAACAAAGTCAACAAGGAATTTACGATAAATAAAAAATTCTAACCTCACTTTTTGAATATGTAATCTCATTTCTTCTCGATTTTTTTATTGTGAATTTAATATTTGCAAATAATTGCATTGACATTTGTTGCAAAAAATTTCAGTGAAATTCGCAAGGTTTGTTCTTTAACAAAACATTTAACAATTCTGATTACAATATTGAAAATAGAATACATTTTTAAATGTTAAATAATCTATTCTTTTTTTATTAAAGAAAAAACGCTGCAAATCACAAAAATTCCATTTTTTTTATACAAACAAAAAAGAAAGTATATTGTAAAATTTTGAAAAAGAATAAAAAAATATTATTAAAATTAGAATGAAAATTTGTTAAAAATAAATGTCGAATTATGAAGCAAATACCTGGATTGAATTTTAAAGATTTCAAAAATGTATTGGAGAAATTGAAAGAATTAAAATCCATAACTGGATCTAAAGGTATATTTTTATAAAGTTTTTGTTTTTAATTTGTATAAATATTTTAAATAATCAAAAATGTCCTGAAAATTTACTTTATAAAGCGCAACACCATAATTATGAAGAAATTTAAATTTATTTTTCTTTTTCTTTCAGTATCAAAATTATTAAATAATTCAGAAATGGAAGCATTACCAAGACACGATGCTTTAAAATCAATTTCCTGGTTAGAAGGAACATGGTCAACTAAATCATCAGGAAAAGGTCAATTTCCAACAATAAGTCCATTTGAATATAATGAAAAAATGTCATTTAGTTCACTTGGACAACCAATGTTTAATTACAAATCAGAAACATGGAATCCTGAGACAAAAAAACCTCTTCATTTAGAAACTGGATTTCTCAAAATAATACCCAATACAAATAAAATCAATTTTCTATTGGCACATAATTTTGGATTGACAACAATTGAAGAAGGCGAAGTGTGTGATAAAAAAATAATTCTAACAAGTCTCTCTGTAGAAAGGCCAAGAGAAGGTACAAAACCACCAAAAGTTCTTCAGGTATTTTATTTCTAAATTAACTGCCAAATAACACTGTCCAACTTTTTTTTTTTTTTTTTTTTTTTTTTTTTTTTTTTTTTTTTCTTTTAAATTCATCAAAAATAAATTTTATTAAAATTAAAACTAATTAATATTATTATTATTGATTTAATAGACAAAACGAGAGCTCACGCTGGTAGAAGATAATTGCCTTGAATATGTTTTTTACATGTCAACTGAAAAAACTCCCGAATTAACGGAACATTTGAGAACAATATATCACAAACAATAAAAATATATAATCAATAAAATTGCAAGTTTGTCTAATTATTGATTTTGTTTTTTATATTTCTATAATAAGTGAGAAATGAGAAAGAAGAGGAAAAGAATTCATAATCTTGTGACGAACCTTTGGAATTACAATATTATCTTTGTCCTTGTTCTTTAGTTAGTAAAAGTTATTCTTACTTTGTTTTGAAACAGAAAATTAATGAAACTATATAGTCTGGGAACTAAATTTACGCCTGACACGCAACATACCAGCATGCTTTAACATTTAAGCTTTATGGGGAGAGTGAGAGAATCGTTCGAGGCTTATTTTGTTCCCGGTCTTACAAATATTAACGAGGCAAAAATTAGAGAGAGAGAAAGAAAGAAACTAATGAGAATTCCAAGACGCAATTCAAAAAGTCAATTATTGAGGAGTGACAATATTATTTCTTGTCAGAAAATAACAATTTTTCGTATTTAGAATTTTTTTCTACTTCGAAATTTTTCTACAAATTTTTTATTTTACAAAATTCCATGATTTAAAAAACTAACACAATTTCCATGATATATTAAAAACCAAAAAAAAAAAAAAAACAAACCATTTGTTTAAATAAAAATTTGATTTTGCTAAATAGAAAATTGTTTAAATGAAAATCGGTTCCATTCCATTAAATAATTCAATCAAAATTTGATTAAATAGAAATTATTTCTAAAGAAAATTCAGTGAAATATGTAATAATTTGGTTAAATGAAAATTCTGTTAAATAACAATTTAACGAAACGAGAAAATTAAAAATTGAATTAAATTGAAAAAAAATGCGATTAATTTTTACAGTTGTATTTATAATCTCGGAATATTATTACAGAGTCATTAAAGCATTATTGATTTTCTTATCTAAATCATGCGAAGTTGAAGGTATAATATAGAAAGGTAAAATGTTATTGGTAGAAGGGGTAGCACCTGTACGTCGACCTGCTGGAACAACCCTCCGAATGCGACAGTTGTTCATCGCGTCGAACAATCGAATGGTCGTGCCAGGAAAGACTTAATATTTGCTTCCTGGTTTTTATATAAAATTTTCATAACTATTATATTCATTCACAAATTAATAAATTTTTACACATTCATTTAACTAATATTTAATTTTATAAATTTTTTTCCAAAAATATATTTTAGAATTAAAATTTCTTAAATCACAAAATCTATTAGATTTTTTTTTTTTTTTTTCTTTGAATAAAAATTAAAATAAATAAAAATCGAATAATTTTTAATTATTTTAATTTACTTAATTTTTTCCTCGATATTGAAAAGTTTAAAATTATTTTTAGTTTTCTTTTTTTTTTGAATTTAAAAGTTTAAAAAAAAAACAGTTTAATCAAGTGTTGAATAGTGAAGTTAATTTTGTTTACAGGAAAATTCGCTGAATTTTCCAATGTTTGAAATGCAAAAATTTCACTCTATCCATGCCACTGATTTTATAAAAGAAACGTGGAATGCGGCGTTTCGAATTCGAATTATTTCGAATTTTTAATCTGTGAAAATTATATTGGCAAAAGAATGACGTTTCTTTATTATGATAAACAAGATTTTTATAAAGGAATGTTGGATATTCAGGAAAAATTGAGAAAGAGGTGAGTATATTATTAATTTTCCTTTTAAAAGAAAAATTAATAAATATGAAATTTTTTTTTTTTGACATAACTTCATTTGATTTTCATTTATTATTTCAGTGAAGAGGAAAGAATACGATTAGAAGAGCGATTCAAATTATTGATACAAGAGTCACAGAATAGGTAAGAGATGATAAGAAAAAGCAAATTTATTTCTCAAGGGAATTTTTAATTAAGAAAAAAATTTTTTCACTCCTTTTTTTTCTTTTAAATATTTGTTTTGTCAAATAGTCGACATTAGACGAATTCTACGGGATCGATAAAAAAAAAAACAATAAAATTTGTAGATAAAAAGAAGAGAGAGAGCTTGGATACAAAATTTGTTACAGTGTGTTTAGTTTCTATGATCGATTCTTGCGACAAAGTATTTAAATTTAATATTGCACAGTATTATTATATATTTAGAAATGATGAATTAAAAGCGACCTTCGTCTCCCTCATGACATAAAAATCACGACCAGTCGTTCAATGTCATGCTATCATGTTTTGGGACTATTAAACAGTTTCTATATTGTTATTTCTTTTTTTCATTTTCAATTTTTTTTTATTTTTTATTTTAAATTTAGTTTTTAGAATTTCAGTTAAATTAAACCATTCAAGGTTCATATTGATTCTGTTTTATCGAATAATATTGAAAATGATATTGGAAATAAATTTTAGTTTTCGAATAATTTAAATTATAAACATTATTCAATTTATCTGGGATGAATTTTCGAAAAATCTTTTTTTTCAATTTTAAAGCTAAATTGTATTTAATAATTTGTTGCAGGCATGACGCTTGTATAAACAGATTACGTCTAAGGTACATTGAATTTCTTGAGGAGCAACGCGATCGAGATGACAGAAATAATAAATTACGAGGAGCATTAGATAAAGTGGATAATCATTTGGCGTTAATGAATGCAAAAAGCAATCGTTTAAACGCACTTCGCGTAAGTTTCATTACTTGACTTTATACGATTGCAGATGATTAAGAGAGAAAGAGAGACAGAGAGGAAAACGAGTATTTGCCAAATCGATTTTGAGAGAGAGCTTTACTCAAATTAGGACTGCATGTTGGCTTGGAAATGCATACTTAAACCTTGAATAATTCAAGGTTACACGCCAAGTGCATCCGTCCTCTCTTCCTACACTAATTTAAACAAAGTTTATAACTTTTGTCTATTTTAAGTATTAAATGCGCCAATAAACAAAACTTCCATTTCTAAACAATATCAACATAATCAGTCTCAGTAATTGCAAAAATATAAATATTTTTTTTTTTTTTTTTTTAAATCAAAACAAAATTTTTATTATTTTTTAAGAAAATCCTATTTTCTTTTTCAGAAACATTATGAGGCTTATCTTTTACAAAATCATGGTTCATCGGGAAGTTTTACTGGAGACAGTGGAATAATCAGTAATGATAGCAGATTTTTTCGAAAAGAATTAATATCTCACAATCGAAGACATTCTATTCAAAGTGGTATTTCAAGTACACCAACAATAAATTTTTCAAGTCGAATTTTAACACCAACTCTACCAAAATACAGTGTACCAAGATTCCACGATCCACCAAAGAGTCAACAATCAACAAATTTACATTCATCATATCATCAGCCATTATTATATAATGATTCAAAAATAATTTCCCAAAGTTCAAATATTTTTTCTAAACAATCGCAAACTATTCCTGAAATTTGTATAAGTCCTTCTTTATCACCAACAACAACAAATTTTGTTTCAAAAAATATTCAAACTGATAAGCCCATTAATTTATTCCTCGATCATTCTGTCATCTCAATGGAACCAAGCCAAATATCGGGCATTGGTCGAATTTCTTCATGTCAAACGTTACCCCAATTATTTACAAATCAATATTCTAGTCCCAATAGTCCACGAGGGGTCGATAATAATAATATCAATCAATATCTTTTAAATCTGCCGTTGCCAAAAATAAATAATTTTTTAGAAAACAAAAAATTCGAAAACGAACATTCAAATTTTTCCTGTAAATCATTTGGAAATTCTGATTATTCATGGAAATCGAATTCAAAATTTGAAATAAAAAGTCCACGATTTGAGAAAAATTCACGATTTTTTGATAAAACATCACCACCAACACATCGTTTTTTCAAGAGATTTGATTTTAATACAACATTCAAAAGAAATGATTATTCACTTCCATCGTCAAGAGATATTTTAAATTCCACAAAAGCAAAATCTCCATCTTTTTCTTCATCATGGAAACCCTTTAAACTTACCAACAATTATAAAAGTGATTATGACGTTTATGAAAGATCAAAAAGAATGAACAGTGAAATTGATCGTTATATTGGCAAAATTAGAAATCTTTATAAAGATCTTGATATACAGAGTTATGATGATCTTGATCAAAATACAAGTGGTGATCTTCTCAATGTGACACTATCGGACGATGATCTCGATGAGAAATTCAAAGAAAATCATCACAAAGAATTAATTACTAAAAAAAAAGATGAAAATCCCATGAAATTGAAAATTTCAAAGCCAGAATCAATTTCTGAAACAAAATTTCTTCCTCCGAAAAATGAGAATTTGACAATTTTAAATGAAAATGAAACCAAAATAATAGAAAATAAAAATATCACAAATAATATTGAAGAATCTGAAGAAAAGAATGAAAAATCAAATGAAAAAATTGCATCTAATGAAAAAGAAATCAATGTTGAAAATGTGGAAAATTCAAAAAAAAATCATGATTCAAATAAAATTGATAACAAAGGGGAAAAAAGTGAAAACAATCAAACGAAAGAAAATCAAAATTATGAATATAATTCTAATCAAAATTATAATTACGATCCAAATGCAGTTTACGAGCAGTATCCAACATATTCTGCTGAAATATACGAGCAATATGATCAAACTGAAGGTGCGAATCAACAATTCGAACAAGATTCAAATCAACAATATGAACCAGTTCAATATTCACAGGATCCAAATCAGCAATACGATGCCGCTCAATACACACAGGATCCTAATCAACAATATGATCAAGATCCCAATCAACAATTTGTTCAAGATTCGAATCAACAATTTGTACAAGATCCTAATCAACAATTTGTTCAAGATCCCAATCAACAATATTCACAGGATCCTAATCAACAATATGATCAAGATCCTAATCAACAATTTGTTCAAGATCCGAATCAACAATTTGTTCAAGATCCCAATCAACAATTTGTTCAAGATCCGAATCAACAATTTGTTCAAGATCCCAATCAACAATATTCACAGGATCCTAATCAACAATATGATCAAGATCCTAGTCAACAATATGATCAAGATCCTAGTCAAAAATATGAAAAAGATCCCAATCAACAATATGATCAAGAACATAATGAAGAATATAAGCAGGATTCTAATCATCAATATAATCCGGCTCAATATTCACAAGATTCCAAACAATACAATGATTCTGATCAATATAATCAGGATGCAAGTGAGTATAAAAATCCCGATCAATACAAAGATTCTAAACAACATAGCCAGGAGCTTGGTGAGTATAGTCAGGATCCTAATAAATACAGTCAGGATTCTAAACAATCCAATGAAACATCAAATCAATTAATTGATCAAGATCCAAATCAACAATACGCACAGGAATCAGCACAAGATTATTCACAAAATTCAAATCAATATGATCCCAATCAACAATATCAGGATCCTAATATTCAATACGATCCTAATCAACAATATCAGGATCCAAACAATCAATATGATCCAAATCAACAATATCAAGATTCTAATGTTGCATACGATCCCAATCAGCAATATCAAGATCCCAATATTCAATATGATCCCAATCAGCAATATCAAGATCCTAATGTTCAATATGATCCTAATCAATATCAGGATCCAAATCAGGCCTATCATTCTAATCAACAATATGATCCAAATCAATCCTATGATCCAAATCAGGCCTATTATGATCAAAATCAAGATTCAGCGTACGCTCAACAGCAGGAACAATTTTATACTCAAGATGAACAGTCATATAATCAGGATCAATCGTACGCTCAGGATTCATCTTACATTCAACAAGATCAAGCATATAATTCAAATCAGCCTGGTGATCAAAATTACAATTCGAATGGAAATTTAGAAAATAATTCAGAAATTAGTGCTCAAGAGAAAAAGGTAAATAATTCAGAGGCTAAGAAAAAGGGTGCAATCAATTTGGAATCAGATACAGAGAGCACGATTGAACGGAATGCCTCGAATACTGAAAGTGATTTTGATTTTAATTAATTCTACTAATATTTATAGGTAATTAGATATAAATAGTGTTTTAAAAAAAATAATAGAGCTTCTTTTCATTAATAACACTGTGTTACGTAGTAAAAAAAAACTAATATCAAACTTTAAAAAATGGTTAATTCTGTGTAGACCTTTAAATTTTTATTTTAGAGCAAAAAAAATTACTCTAGAATAAAAATTGTTTAAGTAAAAAAAAATTTTGTTTTAAAATGTCTAAAATACAAATTATAAGGAAATTTTATATGTAAATTAAAAAAATAATTATATAATTTATAACAATAATAATCATGTATTTCTATATATAAAAACTGGAAATGAATGTTATTTACAGTTTTTTTTTCTACTGATATGCTGTGTTAGATAAACAATTTTTTTTTATATTTAACTTTTTCTTTTTTTCGTAACACAGTGTAATTCAGTAATTAAAGAACTCAGTCACATTCCAACAAAGGAATAATAATATTAAAGTTTTGTTAATATTGTTAAAGAAAAATTTTTCGTCAAACAAAACAAAAAAAGAATATATATATATATTTTTTGTTAAGATCTAGTCAATTTGTCGTAGACTGTAATCATATTAGAAATAAATTTAGATTAAAAAATTTATTACTTCTTTTTTTTATAATTTCAGTCCTTTTGGAATTTTTAAAAAATTTTAAATAAAAATTATCAACTTTTTTTTGGAATCATAATTCACAGTAAAGTGTTTTTAAATTTTTAAATTTTTATTCAATTAAATTTAAATAATTTGAAAAATTAAACGGAATTTGTATTTTGATTTAATTTTCATTTAACCGAATTGTTATTTGACGGAATTTTCTTTTGATAAAATTATAACAATTTAATTGATTTTTCATTTAATCGAAAATTGTTGTTTTTTAATTATCTAATTTGGTTTTTAATATATCGTGGAAATTGTGTAAAAGTTTGAAATCATGAAAAAGTTAAAAAAAATTGTTGAAAATAAAAATTCCATTTTTTTAACAATTATCGAAAGTTTTTCTTTTTGTCCTAAAATGGAATTTTTTTTTTTTTTGAAAGAAAAAATATCGAATAAATCGAAAATATTTTTGTAAATTGAAATTATATATTACTATAGTAAATTTAAGGTTTGTGTAAAAGTAGCCAAATTTTCTGTATATTGGAAAAAAAAGCCGGTAAAACAAAATCATTCATCGCTGAGGGGTTTTATGGATTTTCGCGGGGTCGAAGGCGTGAGTCTGCGCCAATCATGTGTCCCAATTCACAGTTGGGTATCGCGACACTCCGCCAATGGTTGCAAACAGCGCAAAACTTGACTACTACAACACTACGTACGTGTGTATATCAACTATCTCATCTCTCTCTCTCTCTTTTGCGACTCCATACGCATTAAATATATCGTGTGTTAGTTTATAAAGAACAGTCCTTGACTTTACAAACGTTTTTCCCTAATTCCAGCAAAACTTGTTCTATTTCAGTAAAGTGACGACGTGTGAAAGAAAATAATTTTCAATTCTCGAATGCTATTTAATATCGCACATCCCTCTAGTTTAATCACTTTTTTTTTACTGGGATCAACCCTTGAAATTTGAACAATTTTTTTTGTTTTGTTTTGTTCATAGTTATAATTTTCAATTTAACGGCGTCTGATTTTGATAATTAATTTTCAAATACTCCTGATCAAATAGCTTTTGAATAATTCATTGTCATTATCATATTTGATAAAGAAAAAAAGGTGTCCAAAAAAAGTGTTGACAACGTGCGCGTGGTGAGGAAACTATATAGTTGACGTGAATACTGAAAAAGAAAGAAAGCTATTGGTTGTGTCATATTCCACGCTGTCAAAGTACGTGCACGCGATTATCATAGCGGCATCAACAAAAATCGAAATCATTGTTTTGGTTGAAGGCACATTTTGAGAACAAAGAGAAAAAAATTGTTTTCAAATAAAATTCATTTCTTTAATTAAAAAAAATATCAATTATTAAATCCTTACACTGAAAAAAAGGGTTTGGTATTGAAAACCAAACGTTTGGTTGGTATTTAAGCAACCAAAATTAGAAAAAAAGGATTTTTGTTGTCCTAACTAAAGTTTGATTGGGACAACCAAAATTTTGTTGATTCAATAAAAAAAAATTTGGTTGCTTAAATACCAACCAAACGTTTGGTTGTCAATACCAAATCCTTTTTTCAGTGTAGTAAATTATTAGTAAATAATTTATTAATAAATAGTAAATAATTACTAAATTATTAGTTAATAATTTATAATTTAGTCAATAATTGAATAAAGTCGTTTAGAAGATTTGGACAATATTTTAATATAGTTTTAAATTAAGATTAATTTTTTTTTTCATTTCAACCAATAGCTTTTTCTTTTTTTCAGTTATTTGTATTTTAAATTCGCTTTTATACCAAAATTATCGTCCTCTTTTTGAATTATTAAACATGCCTTGATTTTAAATCCACTAACCTGAAACAAAAAACAAAACATTGTATTAAAAAAAACTATAAAAATTAAAAATCGAGATTATGAAAAAAATATATTATAATACACAAAAAAATACATTTTATTAACTATCTAATAACTTTGAATAAATAATAATATTAATATTATAAAATAAATTGTTTTTTTACTCTATAGTGATTGTGACTACAATCATTATTTCGAAGGGAGAGAAAAAAAATTCACATTGTGTAGAAAGAAAATCGATAAAGAATTTTTTTTATGAAAAATTAAATTACTTTTTGCATTCTTAAATGTATATCTTGAAAATAATTTATTCTTACGAAAGCATTAAGACTAAAAATATCTCTTGATCGACCACACCGACCTTCTTTATAATTTAATGATTCACAAAATATGCGAATAAAATATTTAACACGCTTTTAAACATCATCATCATCATCGTCTTTTAGTTATGTTATTTTAAAAAAAATGTATGAAAGCGAATATAAAATACTATTTACTAAAATATAAAATCAGAATTATACTGAGGAATATTTTTATTTTTGCTAATTTTTATTTAGTCATGGAGGATCCACTTTCTACCAATGGTAATATTAATGGTGAAAATGGTGCAGTTTATTTTGGTTTAAATGAAAATGAAGATGCTGATAGTACAACTCAAGCAAGTAACATCGATTCCAATGGCAGTAAGTAATTTTTTTTTTTTTAATTAATTGAAAAATTAAATCGAAATAATTAACATTTTCCAATAATTTGGTAAATAATTTTTTTCAACCCTTAAAAATTAATTATGATTTAAATTTTTTTTGCAGCTTTAAATTAAAAATTAAGTAATTATTAAGTAACTACTTTTTATCAATATTAAAATAAAGTCAATTATTAATTTACATTGTTAACGATTTTGTAAATTGAGATTCTTATACAATAGGGAAATAAATTAAATTTCAGTGTATATGTATTATGAATCAATAAAATAATGTGTGAGTAGTAAACAAAACAATAATTTTAAAATTGATTAAAGCCACAGTTTAATGGAGAAACTTTCTGTATAGAATATAAATTGAGAAAAATGAAAAATTTTCGAAAATGTTTATTGTAAATTTAATTAGTTTCTCTAAATTAAATAAAAAATAAAATAAAAAGTGCGTGAAAGTGAAGATACGAAAATTTTAATTAACAAAATTTAACTAACTTCACTTATATTGATATTTAATTTGATTCAGTTTGATCAGGTTATTAGTAAATTTCAAATAGTGAATTTCAAATTAACTATTAAAATAATAAATAATTATTAATAATATTATTGTAAATAAAAATTATAGTGAGTTTTCTTTCAAAATGCAACGAAAATTTTCAATATATTCTTCAGATTTAAATTCGGATTTGGATTCTCTAAAATCTTATGATTCACGAGGTTAGTATAAATTCTAAAACAGTTTTTTTTTAAAATTAGTAAATTTTTTTTTTTGCTATATTCAAAATTTCCTTTAACAAAAAAAAAAAAACATTTCCTCATACAATTAATGAATAAAAAATACCAAAAATAAATAATTTCTAATCTAAATTAAATTAATTAATTTAAAATTCAGGATGTAAAGATAGAAAATAAATTCTAATCTAAAGACGAGATAAAAGAAAAAAAAAAAAATAGTTATATCAATCTAAATAACGAATGGTTTAAATAGTTGCAATTTCGATGTATTCTACAATAATTTATCAAGAATTTTGGGCTTAATTAAGATGTTTCTAAACAGCTGACTGGCTTAAGTCCCATATTCACTGTCTTTAAATTCTTTTTTTTTCTCATATACAACTGACGTTGTTTTGGCAGTTGTTAAATGTGCACGTGTATTAGAATCGTGTTACGTGAATAGAAATAAGACAAACTAGATCAGACTCACGGCAGTGTCTCGAATCATCTCGTTATACGAATCAGTTATTTACTAATTTTATTTCAAATTTTTTTCTTCCTGGAAAAAAAAATATATATATATATATTTTTTTTATTTCTTCAAACATACATTTATCGATTTCTCTTCATATTGAACCTTTTAATGTGTGTCGTATCAGTGTTTTAAAAATCGATTTTACAAGCAAAGCGAACGCGAAATTGACTAGTGCTATTTTGTTCGCGTTATATTTCATATGTGACAATAATGTGTTTTTCATTATTTTTTTTTTGCGCATTAATCTAAATTATTATTTTTGAATTAACTTCTTTTTAAAATAAAAATTAAATTATTTTAAATTAAAATTTTGTTACAATCTAGGATTTTATTTATAGCTGCTTTATATTAAATGCTAAAAATATGAAATTAGTAAAGAAAAAAGAGAATAATTTCTGGCACATTAACACTTGACGTTTTGAAATCCTATACTAATTTTTTTTTTTTCTTTTTTAATTTGCACATAACTTCTCATAAAGTCCTTCACTCTGGCATTAGCACAGTGACAAGAGTCGACGTATGATTAGTACGTCAAAGAAATTTTTTCAAGTGAAACTGAATTAATTATTCTACTGGTAAAAGTGTTGAATTTTATTTTGTTTAAAGTAAAATTTAAACTAATTGAATTTAAAAAAAAAAAATAAATAAAAACAAATAGTTTTGTGAAATGTCTAGTAGAGGAGTTACTACTTCGAGGGATAGTCCTTTCATCAATATTTTGATCCCTCAAAATTTATTCATCGATCCTGATGAAGGTAAACAATAAAAAATATTCAAGTAAATTAATTAAAGTAATTTAATTAATTAAATTCAAATTAAATTATGCAAGTTCAATTTATCAAATTAAATTGCACGAAAATTCTATTAGAAGTAAATTGTGACTAAATTTATTATTATTATTATTATTATTATTATTATTATTAAATTGCGCTTTTCTCGATATTATAAATTTTGAACACTTTATAAAATAGATTTTGTCACAGCGTTACTTTTCACCTTATCTTATCATTATACTCTGTCGATACAGTAAATTTGCTCATTCAAGAGTGTTCATATATATACGTTCACTGCGACATTCTTTCATGGAATTACATTTGTCACTTGTGTAATAATTAACGATAATTTTCAGGAACAATTTTTGCATTCGTACATTTATATTCTTTACGAAAAAAACAAACATTTTATTCCTTTTCTCAAAGTATAGTCTCGATAAGATTAATTTATTTCCTAAATATCTTAATTAAAAAAAATATATAGTTTTTTAAATATTAAAAAATATTTTTAAAAAGACAACAAAAAGTACCGGGAGTTTAGTAAATAAACATTCATGGATATTAATCAGGACTTTCGTTCAAATAGTGAAAAATGTTTCACTTTTAAAAAAGGTAAATAAAAAAAAAAAAACAATTGTGCCATCAAATTTAGTTTTAAAAATTAATTTCAATTTTCTTCTACTAATTTCAATTTTCAGATTATCATAAAATTAAAACGAAAATATGAAAAATATTTTTAAATCATTTGTAGAAAAATTCCTGTTGATTAAAGAAAAAAAATTTTTTTTTTCAAATATTTTGTGATTAAAAATATTATAATAAATATTTTTTTATAAGTATTTTTATAAAACATAAAAAATATATTTTCGATATTTTTCTTAAATTTTTGTACGATTTTTGGTCTTTTAATTTCCAATTTTTGTCATTTGCAATAAAATTTGCAATTAACGAAAAAAAAGAAGATGGAAACAACCACGAAATAATAAAAATTGAATAAATTTTAGAAAATTTAAATTTAAAACTAATTTGGAAAAAAAAATGACAAAAATAGCTCTCAATTTTCAAATATTAAAAAACAAATTATTTAAAATAATTTTCTGTTCTTTTTTCTCTTCTCGAGTCGGTTTACAGAAACGTTACTTCTTTGTTCAATAATAAACATAAATTTGAAACGACGCCAGTTATAAACATAAAAATATAACATATTTTTATTTTAAAAAATTCTTAAATATTTTCAAATATATATAAATTTAAATTAATTAATAAATTTTCAATAGAACATTTTGAACATTCATTTATCCGATTTTAATTTAGAATAATATAAAAAAATGTTGAAGCTAAAAATAAAACTAAAAATTGGAGATTATTTTTCATTAAAACAAAAAAAAAAAAAAAAAAAGTGACGAATTTGTTTTGCGAAAATTAAATTCCTTGATATACAAACAAGTTGCACAATTTTTCAATTAATACTCTCAAAAAGGTTATATTCTCGTGTCAGATTGCAATATATTTGATTTTATGTAGCAATTTATATTCTGAAAAATACTGAACGAACACTAATTCTCTATAGGAAGTCTATAGAATCTAGAAAATAGAGAAAGAAATTTTTCACCGGAATTCATTTGGTATTTTTCCACGATCCAATTTATTTGATATTCAATTTGACATAAGTATATATATGGAATGTCTCCACGTGTCTTCAATATTCTCATTTTATAACGTTTATTTTAAATTGTCCTATCTATTTTCGAATACTATTTTTTTTTATAATTATTTTTATGTAAATAATTCGACATTTCCCGTTCAAACCGTTATTCATCGCATTTATGCGAAATGCTCTATTTTTATTATAACGCGTTGAAGAAACTCGATCACATTCCTAACATCGAGTACTTTCATAATAAAAAAAAAAATTTCAATACTCTTATCATTCTGAAAATAGATTCAAATAAATAACATTATCTTTTTTCTTTTTTTTTTTTTGCTATTTATTTTACTTTTATTTATTTATTATTTATTTTATTTTTATTTATCTTAATTTTTTTTTCTTAGATTTCATTATAAAATTATTAATTTTTCACATGAGAAAACAAAAAATGGATAAAATAATGTTTTGAGAAAAACAAATAAATTTTCAAATAGCGAATATATTTACCTAGTAATTTTATATTGAATATTTTTAATGCGATTTTAAAATAGAATGCATTGTACTATTAATAAAATCATAGCTATTTTAAATATATAAACAAGTGTTTCGATATAGACAAAGAGAGTTTAAGTGGTCTATCTTCAATTAAATATTACTGAATGGCTTTGTGTTGCAATTTTTAATATAGCAAATATAACACATTTAAAATTAATAGCTACTAAATTCTAATTGAATTCATATATTAATGAGTAAAAAAACTGTTTATTTATATCATTAAAAAGAGACTAAAACAATATGCAAAATTGTGTAAAAAAAGCGCGGCATTATGAACATAACCTAAAAATTTATCTGCAAACAAAATGATTATATTTTGGAAATTTTTGATAAATTTATATTTACCTCTTTAATATCGATGAAATAATAAACTTTTTCTCCTTTGGGCAAAATATATCATAAAATTATAGAGATGATCTTTTCTATTATTCCCTTTTTGCTTTCTTCACTTCCAAAATTGATCATAACTTTTTTCTCATATAATTCAATTCTTCCTTTATCTCATATTGAAATTGATGAATTTCTGAATTCAAATAACACTTTTCACTGTATTTTGATTATTTTGGTATAAAAATCTTTGGTAAAAACGTAAAAACTTCAACAAAAGTGGTATATGGACCAGAGACACAAGACTCAATGCAAATTGTCGATCGCCATTATGATTATTGATTTTTCTATAGGCGGTAAATTGAAATTCAAAATCAAAATAGTGTTAAATTTAATTTAAATTAATAGTTTTTAATATCGAAAAGCTGTAATAAATGTATATTTTTCTTAGATTATAGTTGTTATTACTATTACTAAAACGATAAATACTATATATATATATTTAAACTTTAATTAATAGTTATTAGTTTTTCAAAATTTTGTAACGGTCGTTACTAGTACTGAATAGTCAAATGATAAACTAAATATGTATATAAAATTAAAATAAATAACAATTATATTTTATTTTTCAATTTATAAATTAAATATCAATTTGAAAATTAAGGAAAAATTATTATTCTACATTTAATTTGGTGAGAAAAAATAAATTTTTTGTCTATAGTAGTTGTTGCTATATATAGTGTATATATTTTGTTATGAAAAATGAACTTTGATATAATTATGTAAACAAACGTTTCTTGAAATAATAAATGAGATTAAATAAATAAAATAATAACGCAAAATGAATATAAGAAAGAGCGTGAGGAATAATGTATAATAAACGAATGAATTTCATAAAAAATTATCAGTGAAAAAAGGAAAAAGCAAAGAGAACCTCTGTTAATTTGTTAATGATCATCATGAACGATTAAAAGAATATGTAAACATGGAATTACAAAACTTGTTCATGAAAAACATCTTATTTTTATGTGTGTTTACAAGTGCGTGAATGTGGCCTTGATTATTCATGAAACATTTATGAGAGTGCCAACTGCATACACGAGAATACAAGTCAGTAATTTTTGTACTTGCAAAGAGGATGGTCAGTGCCCTTTAAATATCGTGTATTTTTTTCATTTAAATCAGTGTCTTCTTTTTTTTTGTTACTGTGAAAGTCCTATAGTTCTATTATAAATACTTTTATTTATTATTATATAAACTTTATGAATATTTTTATTACAGTTTAGTATGAAAATCGGTGAAAATCTAACTGTCAATATATAATTTAGAGGTTAGAAATATTTCCTTTGTTGTGCGGAAAAATGAGTTGTATTGTTTGATACATTTTTTCAATATTGGTCGAAAAAAGTTATCTCTGTTTTTATTTCTTAGTAAAATAGTTGTTTCTTTTTTTGTTGTTTAAAAATTTTTTTTTGACAATCAAAAAGTTTATAAATAAATTTTTATACTTTTTTTTTTGCTGAATATGTGTCACAAGTAGTTTTATGTGATTCACGTATTTTATATACTTATTATTCTCATGAAATTTACTCATCCTCTTGTTTACAATTATATTGCTTTACGTGCAAAGCTTCAAAAAGTATATCTTGTGTCATAATCAAATCATAACTTTTCTATTATAAAGTTTCTCGAATTCAATTGAATTAAATTATAAAGAAATTATATTATTTTCTTATTGTATAAATTAAAATTACAAAATTTTACACTAGTAAATTTATTTTTTAAACGAAACACCAATTTCCGTGTGAATTTATTTAATTTCCATAATTAGCATTATGGTATTGGAACGGGAAAGGGAATTTTTTAAAGCCGATTCATCCAGCATTGTAGAATGGTTGCAGAAGAGTGGTCAATTAAAAGCTGAGGGTAAAATTTAAAATAAAAAAAATACAATTTAATTAATATAAAAATATTAATTACGTTTTATTTATTAAGAATAAAAAGTATGTGTTAATAATAATTCTGATAATTTTTTTTTTTTTCGATTTACAGGAAGTGAAAGTCCGGTATTTGGTAATGAAGGTGGATCTGGAAGATTAGCACCTCATGAATTACCAAATGAAATTTCTGCACCATATGAAGTACCACAATTTCCCATTGAGCAAATTGAGAAAAAACTTCTTATTCAACGTCAACTTACAGTAAAGTAAGATTTTTTTTTTCTTAAAGAAACAGTGAAAAAATCCTTATATATGTCGTTTATCTTTCACATGAAGGATAGTTTAAAAAAAACAGTTTTTCTTAAAGAAAATGTGACGAGAAAAAGAGAGCGCTTTTTAAAATATCTTTTCATCGTTCTTTTCAAGCTTAAAAAAAAAAAAGATTATTTTTTTCTTTTCATCTTGAAAAAAGTAGGGACTTGATAATTGCTTATTTTAAATTGTACTCACACCAAATTGTATATATCTTCTATTTTCAATTCCAGCATATTTCTTCAGTGTAAATTAAATCCTTCACACTTTTATTAGAAATTCTTAAACCTAAGAATACTTTATGGATCAATAATGTTCCGCAGTACAACTCACGTTTCTTGATGTAACGCCCTAAACTAATTTAATAAAAAAAAAAATTGCAATATCGAATATTTTTCATATTAATAGGAATATTAATTTTTCATTATCAATTATTGTATATTGATTGCTTACTTAATTATTTTCTTCTTCTTCTTCTTCTTCTTATTTTTGAAAACTGTTTCTTGAATTAGATTCATATTGATTTATAATTAATTATTAATGTCGAAGTATGTCTAATTAGAATTCATTAATTATTTTAATTTCCACTTAGAATAATAATTATTGAGTGTAAAAAAGTTGGTTATCAATTAATACACTATATATATATATATATATATATATATATATATATATATATATATATATATATATATATATATATATAGTTGTGTATAGTAGGGGTTGCAACAAACGTAGGGCATCTCAGTCTTTGCGCGTCTGTCGAGTTGAGTGCAATGTTTTCGTTCTGCTAACCACCCTCTTGGCATTTAAAAATTGTTTTTCATTAAACAAAAAAAAAAAAGTTTTTTATGATTTGTAAATTTCAATTTAGTGGTAATTTCAAATTTTTGAATTGTATTTTTATTTAGTGAGAAATTTTTTATTTTTGAAAATTTCTATTTATTTAGTTAAGTGTTTGACAATTTTTGAATATTTTCGAACACCACCTGCAGGAAAATTCCAATGATATCTGATATGTGTAGTAAAAATAAATTAACAAGTGCCTTTTATTTTATAAATTTTGTGAAAAAAAATTATTTTCAAATTGAAAAATTAATTTACAATAGAAAATTTATAGAGATTGATTAAATTTGTTTTTATTTTTTACGAATATGTTTGCCGGTGCTATTGAATCTAAACGATGGTTGAGAGACTGTAAAATACTCGTGAGGTAAAAATTTATTGAAATTAATTAATTCTTTTATCTAAAAAAAAAGGACGAATTCAATTTTTTAATTAATTTATTGAATTTAAAATTTGATTTTTTTGCTTCTTATGCTTGAAAAGGATATATTGAATTGTTGATTTTGTACATATTTACTATATATATATCTGTATTTGAGATGAGAATTTACATTGGCTGATCTCTATCTGATATATAGTATATCTGACGTCAACTCTTAATGTCTTATGCAGTTTATTTTGGAATACTTGATAGAAGATCGTTCCATGAAACTAATGCTGGCATGCGAATACTTATTATTACTGAAACCTGATAACAAAATCTTCAAAAAAAAAAAAAAAAAAAATTAATCCAAAACATTAACTCACAGTATCTTAAAGCTTAAGGATTATCATTGTTGTTTTAATTAAAATATGTCAATTATAACGGAATATGATTCTCAATATTAATTTTAATATTCTTTCCTCAAAAGAAGAGTTTTTATTTTTACTATTATAATTTATTTCCAAATTTTTTTTCATAATTTAAAAAAATATAAATTTATAAATAAATTATCATCTATTTTAAATTTGTTACATATATTGTAGATATATATATATTTCACGAGAATAGTTATAAAGTTAGTTTTTGGCAATAATTATTTCTTAATGGAAAATGTAATTAATTAAATTAATAAATGATTCTGACAAAATTTGTCAGGCTATTTATTTAATGTTGGTTGAAATACGACGAATATTTTTAATATATTATCATAGCTAGAATTTATAAACAAGATACAATATATTTATTTAAATAAATTTAAATTTTGCAGTTAGAAAATTTTCTAAATTTTTAATTAATTTTTAATCTAAATAAATTACATAACATTTTTTTTTTTTTCTATAATAAAACAATTTTGATTTCAGGGCTGCAAAGGATCTTGAGGAAAGACGCAGTCATTATGAACCATCCCTTGGACCAGGGGTGCCAGATAATAACGAACATCCTTTTACACTTGAAGAGAATGACTTTGTACCGCATTTTCAACGAGTCTCCATTTCCGGAGAGGATACTTCCGGGGTAAATTTTTTAAATAATAATAGAAAAAAATATTAATACTACATTAATTTCATATCCATATTTTTTAATATTTTATTATTAATAGAAGAATAATTTAGGAAAAATCATTTTTTTTTTTAATTATAATATTTGTTGTTTTATTTTTCCAAATTATTAATATTTATTTTTTTCTCCTCTCCATCATTTTTTTTTTATAAATGAAAATGTGCGCGTGCGAGAAAAATAATTAAGAAAGATCAAGTTGTTAGATTAGTGCTTAGATATAATGTATATCTCTTGATGATAGAGGGAAAAAAAAGAGAGAGAGAGATTCTTAAAAGTGAAGCCTGGAAAAGTCGGAAGAAACCCCTTGTTAACAACCACCTTTCATCCCTTTCGATACACGTTGCCTTGAAAGTCTCTTTAATCCTCACTCTTATAATCGACGTAGTTCACATTGACCTTGTCAGGATGATGTCAGTCAATGGAATTTTTAATTAAAAGTGCTCAAAAATATCTCTATATAAAAAAAATGAGAATTTTTCATTAATATTAATAATAAAAATAATGTTATTTATTGACAAATTTTATTATTTTTCTTTTTTATAGAATAAATTGAAATTTTTCTCTAATATAGATTCTATTTTTTGTTTAATTAATTTTATTATTAATTAATATTATTCATTATCATTTATTATTTTTTATAATTATTATCTATTAGTTAATTTTTTTTCTGTGGCAATAATAATAGTGAAATTATTTATTTCCTGTTTTAAAAAAAAAATTGTATTGCAAAAAATCAATAGCTTAAAGTTTCTTTTTGTATAATTATCAAATTAATATAGAAATTTATATTCTCATTATTCGACTTTAATAATTCTTAGAATAATTATCAGATTTAAAGATGAGATAAAATTAAATTTCCAATGCACACAATTATAAGATATGTATATTCATAAGTAGATTTAATTTAAGAAAATAATCCTTATTGTATAACTTTGATTGCATAATTTCTTCCAATCGTTATTGTGTTAAATTCATAAATTATTATATTGAAGTATTTTTTTTTATTGAAAAAAAATGAAAAATTCTATAAATAAATTATTATTATTTATTTCATCTTAAATATAAGAAATATGATTATAATCGTTTTATCCTCTTTAATTCATCATTCGCATAATATAATAAACATCCCTCTCGAAACGATGGTTCGATACAGACTTACATCATAATATGAAGACAATGAAGGTCAGAAAGATATGAATTATGACAATAGAATGTCTTAGTTAATTTTTTTTTTATTTACCAATTCCTTTTAAGTAGAGGCATTTGATATTTGATATTTTTCAAAATTTAATCGCATAATGTGTTCAATATTATCTTTAAGTTTCAAGGATTACATATTTTTTATAGATGAATTTATAAATTGCGATTTTTTGTTAATTTAAATTCATTTAAGAAAAAAAAGGCAGGAAGGAGAATAATCGTTTATAATATAATTTTTATGTTTTTTTATTAATTTGAAATAAATTTTCAGGTACCATTGGAGGATTTACATCAAGCATCGCAATTATTGGTACAAGCACTTGCAATTCGTGAGAAATATATGAATAATTCCAAACAAACATTTCCGACAATTACATCAAGATTTTTGCGAAGTGTTGATAAAAGGCCTCATTCGTCAGATGACGATTTTCAACACGATGATCGAATGGCCATTGAAGGTAATGGAAAAAATTGTAATAGTATTTTTTTAAAATATTTACAATTTAAATTTTTTTCTTTTTCTAATTTTTTTTTTTGATACGATTTCATCAATCCTGATTAATAGTTTAATTTAATTTTGTTTTATTTATTTTCTTTAAATTTCATTTTAATTGGTAATAATTTTTACCTTTATTTCTCAAGGAGTGAGTGCAACGTGTCACATTGAAGAAATCTCAGAGATTCACTCTGATGCAGATATCGACGCCGTCATCAAGAACTTGATTTTAACAGGTCCTTTTCCCTTTCCTTCCTTGTTTTTTTTTCTTTCTATAAATTAATAATTTTGTCCTTTTGTTTCTTCCTTCCTTTATTAATGATTAATTTTTGACGATTTTTATCTCTGTTTTTCAATTCTTTGTCTGTTTTGAATTTTTTCTATATGTAAAATTAATTTTATGATTACAACAAATTATTTATATTTTCTTTTTTTTTTTTAAATAGATCATCCAGTACACGTTCCAGCTTCACGTGGTGATCCATGGGAATGTGAATTTCCAGTGACAAAAAATTATAAAATTGCACCTATTAATGGAGTATTCAATTTATTTGCTAGTGATGAAGATTTAGAAAATAAAAAACCAGTTCCTTATTCATATCCCGATTTATCGACATTTGTTGGCGATATGAATATTCTTTGTGCAATGATTGCTAATGGACCATTAAAATCTTTTTGTTATCGAAGACTGAGTTATCTCTCATCGAAATTTCAATTACATGTTCTTCTCAACGAACTTAGGGAACTTGCGAGTCAAAAAGCAGTTCCTCATCGAGATTTTTATAATATTAGAAAGGTAAATTAGTTTTCTAAGGGAAATTAATTTGTTGATAATAAAAGTATTAAAGATGATTTTTATTTTATCAGGTGGATACACACATTCACGCGGCCTCTTGTATGAATCAAAAACATTTGCTACGTTTTATTAAAAAAACACTTAAAAATCATGCCGATGAAGTTGTAACGTGTTCAAAAATTGGAGAAACTATGACACTTCGAGAAGTTTTTCAATCGATGAATTTAACAACTTATGATCTCAGTGTTGATATGCTTGACGTTCATGCTGTAAGTTTTTAATTAATTTTTCATCACAGTAAAGTAAAATTTTTTATTTACAAATTTAAATACAAAAAAAAACGTACATTTATTTTTTTTTTTTTAAATAATCATTTTAAAACAAGTTTTATTTTTTCTTTTAGGATAGAAACACGTTTCACAGGTTTGATAAATTTAATGCAAAATACAATCCAATTGGTGAGAGTCGTCTTCGTGAAGTTTTTTTGAAAACGGACAATTATTTAAATGGTAAATATTTTGCGAGAATAATAAAAGAAGTGTCAAGCGATCTTGAGGAATCGAAATATCAAAATTCAGAACTTCGACTTTCAATTTATGGAAAGAGTCCCGATGAATGGGATAAATTAGCAAAATGGGCAATTCAAGGTGATGTCTATTCTGACAATGTTCGTTGGCTCATTCAAATTCCCCGATTATAGTAAGTTTTTTTTTTATTGTATTTATTATATTTTAATTGAATTTTATTAGATCCTTCATTCTAATTTTCTTTTTGTATTTTTACAGTGATATTTTTAAACTCAACAAACTTATGACAAATTTCCAAGAGATACTTAATAACATTTTCCTACCGCTTTTTGAAGCGACAAACGATCCTAATTCACATCCTGAACTTCATAAATTTCTTCAGTATGTAAGTATCGTTTTTCAAAAATTCATTAAATTGAATTTTCAAGAATAAAATTCTCTTTTTTTTGTCATTTAAATTAAATGATTATAATTTTTTTTTTTTAAATAGGTCATTGGTTTCGATTCCGTGGACGATGAGAGCAAACCGGAAAATCCTCTTTTTGACAAAGATGTATTTCCACCAGAAAAATGGGAAGATGTCGAAAATCCACCTTATGGTTACTATCAGTACTATACATACGCTAATATGACAGTTCTCAATCATTTTAGAGCGTAAGTAAATTTTTCCAAATTACATTCAACTTTTAAAACTTTTAATAAAAATATGTTAATTAATTAAAAATTAAAAATTTTTTTTTTCTAATTAAAAAAATAATTAATTTTAATGTATAAATTAATTTAGTTATTATTAATAATAATTAAATAATCCTTTCAGGGAACAAGGACTAAACACCTTTGTTTTGAGACCTCATTGTGGAGAAGCAGGTCCAATACAGCATTTAGTTTGTGGTTATATGATGGCCGAAAATATCTCACACGGTCTTTTACTTCGAAAAGTTCCAGTGTTACAATATCTTTATTATTTGGCACAAATTGGAATTGCAATGTCGCCTCTCAGTAATAATTCATTATTTCTCAATTATCATCGTAATCCACTTCCAGAATATTTGGCGCGAGGACTTTGTGTTAGTCTTTCAACTGACGATCCACTTCAATTTCATTTCACCAAGGAGCCTTTAATGGAGGAATACAGTATTGCTGCACAAGTTTGGAAATTAAGTTCATGCGATATGTGCGAACTTGCAAGAAATTCTGTTATTATGAGTGGATTTCCACACAAGGTACAAATTTTTTTTTACTTTAATTAATTATAATTTATTGATAATTATCAATAAAAATAATTAGAATTTTAATTAAAAAATTTTTCTTTTTACACAGAGCAAGCAATATTGGCTGGGTCCAAATTATACAAAAGAAGGTGTCGCAGGAAATGATATTACAAGAACAAATGTCCCCGATATTCGTGTTGCTTATCGTTATGAAACAATGGTCGATGAGCTTTCAAATATTTTCAAAGTTGTTGAAAAATTAGAAACCTTCTAGCGTTTACCTTTATCTTGTGTTTCGTCTTATATCGCCAATAGATTTGCAATTTAATTGCTTGTTTCATCGAATCTTATATAAAAACGAACACAAGAACAATTAGTGATTACTCTAAAAATTTATTTTCCCCTTTACGGCAACTTATAAGAAATTAATTTTCTCAATTCTACAAATCTCGAGTTTTTATCTCGCAAAAAAAGTAATATCGTTATATAATAAATAGTTTCTATTTTATCATGGCTGTTAAATCATGTTTATATAGGCAATAAGAAAAGTTGTTTATTATAAAAAATGTATGAAAAAAAAAAAAAACAAATGATACTTTAAAAACGAATTTATTGTAAAGAAAATTGTTTTTATCGATTGACTTCGAATGAAGATAAGATATGGCTTGACCAAATGTAGATTTCTTTTTTTTTTTCTTTTTTTTTTAGTAAACAACTAAATCCTCGAATATGATAAATTTTTTGGGCTAAAATAAATACCATTAGAAGCATAATATTAAATTAGAAGAAAAATTTTTAGCTAAGGCTTTAAAATTTTATTTTATTACATTTTTGTACATTTATACCACAATCATATAATTTTATTTCTTCATTAGGATTCATTATTATAAAAATCGTGCGATCCTAGGAGAAAGTACAGTTATTTTCTAATATTGCCAAATTGTAAAAAAAAGAATGTAAAAATATAATGATAAATATATAATTGTGCGTTTGAATATATTATAAATTTAATCATATTGGTTTTTATAATCCATAATTAATTAAAAAATTGTAACTGTTTATTTTTATTTTTTAACTGTAATTGTTAATTTATGTAACGAAATTATAAACTGTAATAATTTTTTCTGTAATTAAATATTAGAAATATTTTAATCCGATGCTTTAATAAAAAAAATTTTTTTTTCCTGTAATTCACTATTTTATTATTTATTTCCTTTCGGAAAAAAGAAAAATTCTCTGAATATTTCATTAAGTTATTTACAATTTTTTATATTTACAATTAATTTTTTTTTCTCTATTAGTAGAAAATTTTGTTACGTTATATTTAATTAAAATTGAAATGTAGCTAAATTGAAGTATTTATATTAAAATGCATTTTATCTACTTAAAAATAATTAACATTAATTTTTTCCTATACAATTAATTGTCTAAATTCTTTTGTTATTTTACTTTCTTTTCAACAGACGAAACTGTTGTTAAACCCTGTTGTATTTTTGGTAAAATTTCGGTAAAAATAATTGTTCCTATAAAAACAAGACTCGTTCCAATCCAATGATAAATGGTGAATGGATTTTTAAAATACAATATAGAAAATATAAGTGATAAAAATTTACGTAATGTTACCACCAGTGTAACTGTGAGTGAAGTACATTCTGTTGTTAAAACATAAACCGATCCAATACACATGTATCTGTTTTTGAAAAAATGAAAATGCTAAGGAAAATATCAAACAATAATTTGAATTAGTAAATTAAATTAATTTTTTTTTTAAATTTCAATTCGTATAATTTAAAAACAAAAAGTTTTAATTTCAATAATAGAAAAAAGAAATTTCTTTCTTTCTTTTTTGAAAAAAAAGGATACTGTGTCAACACATTTCCAATTAAATAGGCAACTAATTTAGGCATTTGGAATCCAATTACAGGAATTGAAATTGGTGCAGAAACTAATGCCACATTCCAATGTTGCCATATATTTGGTCCTAGTGTGAGAAAAAATGGCATTGGCAAAAGATGCTGAAATTAAACAATAAAATATTCAATTTTTATATTTAATTTTTGTTTTTAGATTTTAAAAAAAGGATAAATATACGTACAGTATAAAAAAGTGCTTCTTTAGGATGCTTTCCATATCGTTTATATAAAACTTCTTGATAAAGTCCCATTCTTGCACTAATAAAAAGTGCAACAGTCAGTAAAATAATTCCAACAGTCCACCAAAAAAAATCATCCCAAGGTGTTGTTGGTTTAACATTAACAGTTTGTGTGGATTTAATATCCTGTCCACTTACAATTGTACATAATGCAATACCAATGGAAATCATAAAAACTGACAAATATTTACTAAAAGTATAAGTTTTTTGCAGAATAATTATTCCCATTATCATATTTGCTATTAGGGAACCCTGAAAAAAAAATGAAATTATAAAATTTTTATAATTTTAATCTTTTCAAGATAATATTTAATACTCACTGCTCTAAATATCATGTGAAGTGGCATCGGTACATTAAAATCAAAGGCATAATTATTACATACACTAGAGACGAAAAACATTGTAACTAAAATTGTATAATCCTTCAATCCAATTGTTGGTTTTACCGTACCACATTTTGATGTAAATAAAAATCCCTCTATTGCTATGAATAAAAATTGAGCAAATGTGATTAGATTCCCACTTCCAGGATCTCCACTGTAAAATTATAAATAAAAAATATATTTTTCATTTGTTTTCATATAATTAAAATATCGAATTAATAAATTTATATAGAATATTAAAAAATTAAATTTTTTTGCAATTAAAAAATCTAAATTAAAAGATATTCACAATTATATAAAAATCAAAAAGAGGTCAAGGAGATAAATTTCAGAGTCATTATATTAACATGAATATCTAAATTTCATGTAATAAATTTACGTCATAAAGGAACTATTGAGGAAAGTAATAATTCATTAAAATATAAGACACTTTTTTGTAAAATATTATTCAGACTAAAAAAAAATGAATAATTTCGTCTTTATAAATAATAACAATAATAATAAAATATTAACTAAGAAGAATAATAACAATTTTATTAGTGTAAACAATTAAAATATAATTAACAATGATGACGTGTCAGTTTTCAATTATTTATATAATAATAATTATTTAATATAGAAAAAATTTTATAATTTTCTGTTTTTAAAGTAAATTTAAATAAAAGTATTTCAATTTTGCATTAAAATATAAGAAAAAATTAAATAATTCTCTATATAGTACTAATAATAAATAAAGATATAGGTTAGAAAAGTAAATAAAGATATACAATAAAAATTCTATACTCACATGACAAGAAGCTCAAGAAATATAACATTTAAACAACAGCCAACGAAAACGAGAAAAATAGCTAAGGGTGCCTTATTCATTTTGTTTTTTTTTTTAAATTTCCTAAACAAAAATAAAAATCTGATATGCCTAACCTATAACTTTAATAAAATTCAAAACATGAGAACGACACGAACACATTTAATATCTGCCACTCCTTTGAATTATTATTTTCTTCAACGTTCTTTAGAGATAAGGAATAAATTCTTTTTTTGCAATGTCATTTACGTATATAGTTTAAAAATCATACTTTAAATTACAGTTAATACCAGTGATACGAGTACAACACAAATTAAAAACAAATTGTTTTTCAATGACCTTGAACTTTTAATTCTTAGAAGGAATGAATGTTGGTAGAAGTGAAAAAGTTCAGTTTTTTTTTATCTTAGGTTGGCAGTAGTCAGAGAAACAGACACTGTTACCAATACAAAAAAATTTTTCTAAATTTCTCCAGTTTTTGTGATTTAATTCCTTTAAATTAACGTCTATTGTTTCAAATTATATAAATAATTAAATTTTCACTAAAATAAATTAATTACTTTTTATTTTTATCTTTTAAGGGGAAAAATTTCTTTAATTATATGTAAAAAAATTTAAATTTACCCACTATTAGTTTCAAAGGAAGTTCTGTAGGTGACGCTAGTCATTTTTTATCAACCAATCACAATAGATCACATGATTCCTTCTTCTTCCGGTTTTTTCGAGAAGGCGCGTAACCGCCATTGTTGAAGAAGCCATGTGAAGGGGATGAAGAGCGTTCTCAACTATTATTATCAAAAATATAGTATTAATATTGAATTTCTTCTGAAGTTTTATTGAAAATAATAAAAAGTGTTTATTGACGTTGTTAATGTTAGATAAATTTAAAGTAATTGAATAAAATAAAGTGTGAAAATATGAAGTCGAAAATTATGGATTGCTGCAAGTGTCGTTGAAAATCAGGTGAATATATCAGCATTTTTTTTCTTTTCTTTTATTATTTTTTGTGGATATTAACATTGTTGTAGTATTTAACATGTTTTTAAAATCATGAGAAGTGATATTTTGTCTTTAGATTAAATAAATTGTGAGCAGGTTTAATGGGTAAAAGATTTTCAAGGTCATGAAAAAATATTGTTGCACAGTGTCTATATTTTCAGTGAATCGGCAACAAGTGTTTAATTAATTTTTGCTTATTTTTTTTGTAATTTATTCCATTATTTATAAAGGGGTTTAATGGGGGATTAAATTTTGTTAATTATTATTATTCGGCAAGTGTATGACGATTTTCTAACCTAAAAAAAAATATGTCAAGTTTTTTTTTTTAATACAGGAATTTTTCTCCATAATTTTCAACATAACCAAATTAAAATTGACAAATATTTTCTACAAAATTACTTTAAATTTCTTTATTAATTAAAAAAAATATTCTCAATAAATATAAAATAACAAAGAGAATAAAACAGATTTTTAAAAGAATTTGTAATTATCTCCAAAAAGTTAATTTTATTTTTTACTTTTAATTGATTTTTCTATTAAATTATTTTTTGCAAATAGAAAATAAATTTTATATTTTTTATCACAATTTACATTATATTATTAATTAACAGTACATAACATAACTGTTAATGATTGAAAAAAAATTATAATTAGTTGCAATTACATTTTTAAAATTTTTCTCTAATTAATTTGTCATAATTAAAATATTCTTTTGTAATTATTTTTCGTCGGAATATTTAAACAGAAATTTTAAAGCTTATAACTTTTCGAATTTTTGTTATTTTTATTATAAATATTAAAAAAAATTAAAGTTTTTTATTTGTATTTGAAATTATAATTCTGTTCTTTTTTTTTTAGATTTTCAATTGAAAAGAGAAATCAAATTTCATTTTTGGAGGACAAAAAAGAAGAAATTACAAATCGCAGAAGAAAGGAGGAAGGACAAAGGAATAAGCAATATGTAAGTCTTAAAAATTATAATTATTAATTACAAAGCGATTGTTTATTATAATTTATATTTATTTATGAAAAAATTGTCTATATATATTTTTATATTTTTTCGAATTGGTTTGTGTTAATTTAAATATTTTTACAGCAAAAAAATTTTATATTTTTTTTTCACTTTTTATATGAGTGGAGTTTTGAAATTCTTTAAAATTTAATAATGTTATTAAATTCAAAATTCACATCATTATAATTTTTATCATTTATTATTGATAAATAATTTTTTTTTTATTACAAATCAGTAAAGTTACATTTTTAAGAAAGAATCTATTAAAATTTTTACTAAGTCGATATTAAAATCTTTACTATTACTTTTAAAAAAATTTTAATTTAAAAGCAAATAATTATCTCTATTTCATGCTTCTATAGTATGAACAAATGGAGAGCCACACAACGAAAAATCCCTTATTATCTTATTAACATTTCGTAATCATTTTAAATTTGCTTTGATTTTTTTAAAAAAGAAGTTAATTAAAAATATTTGAAAAAGACTACATTAATTAAAATAAATTATTATCAATTGATAAATAATTTTCAGACTTAAAATTAGATTAGATAAATTTATTAGATAAATTTTCATTTAAAAAAAAATTCAAATTTACACTCAATTTAATTTAACATAGAAATTAATAATCAATGTAGATTTAAAAAATGTTTAATTTAAATTTTGAATTTAAAATTTTGAATCAAAAGACACGAGGCTTAGCCAATAATATTTCCAATTTTAAATTTGAAAGTATGAACCAGTAGGAACATGTACAAAGAACGTCGGGACAAATATGAAGTTCCACATTCTCCCGTTATTTTATTTTATTGTATGTTTTCATCTTCAGCAATTTATTTGCTCATTATTCTTGTCACAAGATAAAACAATTTTCAAAATAAAAATATATTAAAATTTTCTATTTAGTAAGTAATAAATAATTAAAAAAAAAAACATTAAAATTGTTTTTAAACAAATATATTTAAAAAACAATCATTACAAATATTTAATTATTTAATTAATGCTATTTATTAATTATAACTTAAATGAGATATCAAATAAATTGCTGATGATTGATAGTCGCTTTGTAATTTTTCATTTTTATTTTTATGATAAGGTTTAATTAGCTGATATTTAATTTACAAAAATTTGCATATTTTTTTTCGAATATTGAATTGATTTTATAAATTAATTTAGGAAAAGTTTTATTTAAAGATTTATTATTTAAAACTTTATTTTAATTAATTAATTTATAAATTTCACTTTTACATTAATTTACAAATATTTAAACAGAGAGTTCTAAATATTTATTAAGATTCTTTGTAAATTTAAAATTTTACTTTCCGATGGCATTCCGATAATGCCACAAACATTTTTTTTTTTTAAATAATAGGAAATTTTGAATCTGACGCTTGCGTATTTTAAGGTCGTGTACGTTTTTTAACGTTGAATTACGTAGAAATATCAAACTTTAAGCTATATTCACACATACTATTCCAACTGAAAGATTTAAGGTTATTTTAAGAACGTGGAATTTAAAATTTTCTTTTGATTTTATTTATAATATAATAATTAAAATTAATTATTTATGAAAACTAAAAGTTATATTTAATTATTATAGGTAAATTTAATTATTGTATTATTTATAACGGCAAATTTTTTTTTTTATCTCGCGTCTGTTACTTGTGTATGATACTTTATGTCGGTCAAGTAGAACAGGGTTTTACCATTCTCATTATTCTGTTGTATCCCAGACATTGTTGACAATATTGTCAATGATATAATAAAAAAGTTTACATTTATCATAATAATTTACTTGCAATTTTTGCTGATTTAGTAAAATTATAAAACTCTACTATGTTAATTAAATTTTAAATTTTGCAAAAATAAGAAAATGATTGTTATATTTAATCCGTGATAATATTTCAATCATTGTTTTTTATAACCTAAAAGTTTATTTCAATTTTGGGTGAATTTTATATTTACATACCAAAGAAATTGAAATTAAAAAAAAAAAAAGTAATAATGGTTGAAGAAGTTGTGAATACAAATAACAAGCCAAAGGTTAGTTTCGTAATTAAAAAAAAATACATTTTTTTCCAATTAAATTTCGTTATCATTGATTTATTTTCGGTGTAGAAAAGTTTTTTGGGAATTAAATAATAATTTTTTTAGGTCAAAACAGCGAGACCGCGTCCAGTTTATTTGTGGAATGTTTTGGATGTACAAAAATGGTTAAGGCGACATTGCAGTGATTATTATCAATTATATCATGAAAATTTTTTATATGTGAGTTGCATTCTTGCCTAACTCATTGAATACTTTTTTTTTCTTGACTGTAGAATTTTCGAGTTAATTAAAAAGATTTTTGATTATAAATTTTGAAAAGCACCAGAAAATAGTTTTTTTTTTTAAATTTTCTTTTCATCTTTTTTTGTTTTTAATTTATTTCAAAGTAGTACTAAAGTTCACTTGTTGTTTTACTCGAGAAGAAAAAGTTTATTTTATAAATTTTTTATTTTTAAACTAAAGTTTTTTTTGTTAAAATTTTCTCATCGGATTATTATAAAGTATTTAATTTTGAAAATTTCTGGCGCTTTTAGCATGACATAACTGGAAGAGCTCTTCTAAGAATAAATGAGAATATTTTACTTCGTTTGGGAATCGATAATCAACAACATAGAATGGATATTTGGAGAGAAATTATGAAATTACATCTAAAAACCGATATTCTTGAAATTAGAGATATTGAACGTCGAAATAACATGCAATATGATTAATGTTGATTTAATATTTAATAATTATTATTTATTAGTATAGAAATATATAATAATTATTTTTAATCTGTACATAAAAAATATATTTTATGACTGAATTTGATATTAATAAAAAAAAAAAAATTCACAAAAATGTTAAGGCTTCTATAAAAACATATTTTATATATAGTTTTTTTTTCTATTTTCTATTTTTTTTTTTTATTCATTTATTAGTCTTTGAAGTGTTTACATAGTTTTCTAATTCTATTTACATATTTTTTAAACGCGTTTTTCCCCACTTTTTAATATCAACTAGATTAAAACAACTAAATTAATTAAATGTTTCCAATTTTTTTTTTTTTTTTTGACAAAAAATCTTTCTGTATAATATAAATTACAAGAAAGATTTTGTGTTAAAAAAAATTAATACAATTTTTATTTAATTTTTTTGTTTTTGAACACAAAATAGAAAAAAAATTAACTAAAAATCTTTAAAAAAATCGTATTGACACAATTTACATCGGTGTTCTTTTAATTTCTATATGACTTTTAAGTAAATCCATCATTTAATTTAAATGTTTATTAACTGATATTACAAAATTACAATTAATTTTAAAAATAAATATTAAATCACAACCATTGACACTAATTTAATTTTAACTTATTGCATATAAAATGTTGACTGAAAAATTAAATACTTTTTTAAGTACTATACCTATTCTAAAAGTTACATCATTATAAAAATTATCACTTTTATTATGAATTTTTTTTTTTTTTTTTGACATATTAGTGATGTCAGTAGAATTTTTTGCAAAATAAAAATTATTTCGAATTTTATATATAAATTCAGATTTTTTTTTTATCTTGAAAAAATAAATTCAGAAACTTAAATTAATAATGTTAAATAATACATTTATAGAAATTATTTGTAACTTTCAGTCTCTTCATTGTTTTATTGGTACATATATAAAGATTGTGGCATAAGTTTTAAATTTAATCATGTCTTATAATTGAGCAAATGTCTATTGCACAAAAAAAATTATGCCTTTCTTTTAAAATGAAAAAGAAAAGAACTTGTAAAAAATTCATGAATGTTTTAAGAGTTCATGAGATCTAGTATATTATGTATTTCAAGAACCCGTGAATTTTTTTTTTTTTTTTTTTTTTACAATTATTCAAATTTTTCATACTTTACGAGAAAACATTTCTTCAGACAGAATATAAACTTTAGAAATGAAAATATAGTTCTTCTATTTTTATGAACCCCTTTCATTGTTTGCAAAGTTTTAACATAAATTCTTTTTATAAATGATAAATTTACATTTGAAATAATGAAATAAAATAAAATATTGAAAATCAATATAGAACGACGAAAAATTATTGAAGAAATTATTTTTTTGTTATTAAAATCATATTTAATTTCTTGAATATTGTTGGGTTGACATTGTAAACATTTTGTAATATTTACCCTTTAAATATGTTTACAAATACATTTTCATTTTAATCCTTGTAATTTAATTCCGATGGGAAGAAAATTTATTACTAACTATATACACTCTACTTAGATTGCAGTTATTTTAAAAAGTAAAAACATTGACACGATTTTTTTTTTTTAGTTATTATATAACTTAAAAATTGAAATTAATATATTGCTTTTTTTATCAATAAATATTTTCTTTAAAAATTCAACAATCTCTAAACATTAAAAAGTTTATATATGAATTATGTTTTTATATGAGGCTATGTACATAATGATTGCGTAATTAAATTAATGTTTAAATTAAATAAATTTAGTGTAGTTTTTTTTAGTCTTAATTATTTTTGCTGCGTTTTAAAACATTCCAAAATAAATAGAAAAAATTGTTTTTAATCAAAAATTTCGTTTCCGCTAAAAAACAAAAAAATTTAAAATTTTGGAAAATGATTTTTAAATTTTATCTAATCTTTGGCTTATTTAAAAATGTTTTGTTTTTCTATAATCTTATTAGTTTATGAAAACTAAAATTTTATAATTACTGATTATTTCTTTTTTTTAGAATTCTTTTATCAAATGTTTTAAATAATTTGATAAAAAGTTTTCTAATTTTATTTCCTATTAGACTGTGTCATTTATCGAAGAAATGACATCCAGTTATATCCGTAATGTGTTTATTTAAATTATAAACAAAGTTCTTGATTAGCAAGATCTCGACTATGTTTGTGTCTTCCGGATGAGAAAACATATAACTCCGTTGTTCTATCTGTTGTCTTGGGAATTGTTGACTGGTTATCGTGTCCATTGCGAGTTGAATATCCACTTGAATTTATAGAACGTGTCGGTATTTCATTTCCGTTTACCATTAGTCTTGATGTTTCTCTCATTGATGCACTTCTATAAAAAGAAGATGTTGCTGGACAACCGCTAGATGTTGGTCTTCTCCAGTCATATCTGCAAAATAATGAGAAAAAAAAATTTATTCTTTAAAGTCTAACAAAAAAAAAAGTTGAATACAAAAAAATCAATATTAACAAACTGGCACACGTATATACATGCTTTTTTTAGAAAAAATGTACTATTTTTTGTTTGTTTACATTAACACGACATAAAAATACATTTGTATTTTTATAGGAATAGAGCACCTGAGAATGTACCTAATGGACGCTCTAGTACTTTGCGTCTTATCCATATCTAAACTGTCTGTTGGTGGACTCGATGACCACTTTCGAGATCTACACGGACGTCTTTGTTGAAATTCTCTTTTAAATTTTTCCTGAAAAAAATGGTTTTTTTAAAAAAATATTTAGTTCCGTTAGCTACAAAAATTATAGATTAACTGAAGCACTGAATTAATATATCAAAATAAAAATTTTAAATATGATCAAATTCTTGACTAAACAAATTAATTCTCTTGACTTGTGAATAATTTATTTCCGTATTTAGAATGTCTCTCTGTTAATCTACAATTAGATGTTTCATGAATAATAATGGAATTTGTGTATTGTAAAGTTATTCTAAAGATAGTGGAAAGTAATTTAAATAATTTGAATTCACTGTCAATTTTTTTTGATTATTAATTCTAGTTCCTTACCCAGATAGCACGTAAGCTTACAGAAATCTTGCCACGCAATATTGCCAACCTTGCCACGCAATGTTGCCAACCTAGCAACGCAATATTGCCAACCTTGCACGGCAAACTTTCCTCAAGCTTACTGTAAATTTTAAATGTCCCACCTGACCGAAAGCCTTGCAAGGTAAGCTTACCGAAAGATTGCAGTGTAAGGTTACTGCAAGATTGTACAATAAGATTATCGCAAGATTGCTCAGTAAACTTGCACGGTAAGCTTGTAGCAAGGTTGGTGCAAGGTTGACAATTAACCTTGCTTTAAACCTCAAAAATTTTTTTTTAATGCTTAAAGCAAGGTTATTTGGCAACCTTGCACCAACCTTGCTACAAGCTTACCGTGCAAGCTTACTGAGCAATCTTGCGATAATCTTATTGTGCAATCTTGCAGTAACCTTACACTGCAATCTTTCGGTAAGCTTATCATGAAAGTTTTCGGTCAAGTGGGACATTTGAAGCTTACACTAAGCTTGCGACAAGTTTGCTGTACAAGGTTGGCAATATTGCGCGGCAAGGTTGCTGCAAGCTTACGTGCTATCTGAGTATGAAGATATTAAAAATGAGAATGTTTTTCTTTAAAAAAAATTTTCTCGCTTTTTTTTTTACTTACATTGTAAATCCCATAGATAAATGGGTTGTAACAGCTATTGGACATTGCCAACCAATCGCAACAGAACCATATTATGTTGATATATCGATATCTAAAATTCAATTATTAACATTATTCAAAATTTATGTTGTGTAAATTTATTCAATGCCTTGTAAATATCGTTGACGTAAAATATATTGACCAATGGAAAATTATTTTATCAATATAATATTATTCTTTTGTTATATAGCCTTTTAAAAATAATTGTTAAAATATGATTGAAAACAAAATTCATTCAATTTTTAATTGTTACAATTTTGCACAAAAAAAAAAGAAAGAGAACATTTCTATTATAAAAGCGGTCGTAATTTAATAAAAAGGATAAATAAAACACTGAATCCAGCTTCCGTGGCAAAAACATTGTTTTCTTGTCAAGGGATTAAATAAATTCTGCATATTCCGGCAATTTACCGTGAAAAATGTTGAAAATAGAAGCAAGTAAAGAGAAATATTAAAATGAAATAAATGAGATATTGATTAATACTTAGGTACTTGAATTTCAAAAGTTCATTTAATTAAAATAATTTGTTACAATTTTTATGTTTTCATTTTAAGAAAGTATTTTCAACGAATATTATATAAATTGTTTCTTTTTCTTGGAAAATCTATAAGAGAATCAAATTTCAATTCAATTAAAAAAAAAAATTATGTCAGTGAAGTTTATTATCTGACAATTAAGAATAAAAATAAATATCATTTTGTTTAAATTATTATTATTTTTTGTCTTAAAAAAAAAAAAAAAAAAAAATGATGGCAAAGTTTTTCAAAGAAAAATTTGTAATGAATTATAATTTTTTTCGAAATGAAAAATATATATTTTTTTATAATCGTGAACTTCGCCGACGTAAAAAAATTGTGAACACCTTTTTTTTGTTCAAGGTTTTCTTGAAATTGCTGTTAGAAGCCAATTTGCTGTATATTTTTTTAATTTCCAGTATTTCTTTTTTTTTTTTGCTGAATTTTTAAGAGAAAAAGAAATGGTATATATAACTTTGAGAAATGATTTAATTAGTTATTTTGACTTACTCATTTATTTCTGGATACGTATACTGAAGTACGTTATACGTTTGAAGTGGTAGCCAGCAAATTGCAAATATTGCTACGACAATTACAAGCATTTTGATCACCTGTAATTAAAAATTAAATAAAAATCAAGTTTTATATCGGCTTTTACAATATTAGTTTTGAATTTAAATTCAATTTTTAAATTTATATGTACCATTAACAAAAATTATTTTTATTTTCTTTTATTACAATTATATTGATAATTTATTATTATTCATATTTCTAAAAAAAATATACAAAAAAAAAAAACAATATTAAAATCGGATGCATGAATGTTTGGTTAAAAAAAAGGTCAACCCTGCAAATGTTAGATTCAAAATTTTTTTTCTTTACCCTCTAGCATATTTATTGTGGGTTTTTTTTCTTCTTATTTTTCTTTTTTGTATGGATAGAGAGGGGCATGCACAATAAGTTTTATATATATATATACGTGTGGATGAATCAATCTCGCAAGCTTCATAACTCGTGTTGAGCGTATAATGAAAATAAAACTCAGTTTCATTGTTATTGGAAAATTCATGAATTTTTACATATATATAGGTACTTTTGAGAAAATTTTTTTTTTATCTTAACTATTTTCAAAGTAAAGTGATTTTATGATCACTGAATTGTGAATGATCTAAATATGTTAATGAGAATAATGTCATTTTTATTTATAATTTAAAAAAGAAATGCTCTTTTGAATTTGAATTGCAACAAAAGTACCTAGAATATGTTTAGATATGGTTGGGTAATTTTGTGATGTCATAGTTCTACTATATATATATATGTTATATCGCTTAGTGAGAGAGAAAAAAATAAAGGGATGTAGAGAAAATGGCTTACCTTTTTCTTATTCTTCATTAAATTGGCATCTCTTGAATCTTGTGCGTTACCAGGAGCTCTGCTGCCCCATAATCTTAAAGCCATTCTGGCGTAAACGCACGATATGATTGTTAGGGGCGTGAGATATTGTAGAAAGCCTAAAACAGCTCTGTATGTCAGCATCGAGCTTTCAGACATATTTTCATTATGACAAAAGGGCTTTAATAGATGTGGTGCTGCAAGAAAAAAAAAAAAAAAGTGAAAAATATTTTATTTTCAACGAAAAAAATTATTGAAATAATTGAAAATTGCATTAAATTAAAAAATAAAAGCAGAAAATGCCTCTATTTTTATTTTTTAAAATGAAATTTTCATATCTTTTTAGCCAAACCATTAATGTTCTTTCTAAATTTGAATTTGCTAAAAATAAATAATTTGATAGAATGAAGTTAGTTACAATAAGACTATCGCAAGATTGCTAAGTAAGCTTGCACGGTAAGCTTACTTAGCAATCTTGCGTTAATCTTATTGTGCAATTTTACAATTACCTTGCACTGCAATCTTTCGGTAAACTTACCATGCAAGCTTGGGTCAGATGGGACATTTGAAGCTTGCGGCAAGTTTGCCAATATTGCGAGGAAAGCTTGCTGCAAGGTTGCTGTAAAATTGCACAGTAAGATTAACGCAAGATTGCTGAGTAAGCTTACCGTGCAATCTTACTTAGCAATCTTGCGTTAATGTTATTGTGCAATTTTACAGTAACCTTGCACTGCAATCTTTCGGTAAACTTACCATGCAAGCTTAAGTCAGATGGGACATTTGAAGCTTGCGGCAAGTTTGCCAATATTGCGCGACAAGCTTGTTGCAAGGTTACTGTAAAATTACACAATAAGATTAACGTAAGATTGCTGAGTAAGCTTACCGCGCAATCTTACTTAGCAATCTTGCGTTAATGTTATTGTGCAATTTTACAGTAACCTTGCACTGCAATCTTTCGGTAAACTTACCATGCAAGCTTAAGTCAGATGGGACATTTGAAGCTTGGGGCAAGTTTGCCGTGCAAGGTTTGCAATATTGCGCGACAAGCTTGTTGCAAGGTTACTGTAAAATTACACAATAAGATTAACGTAAGATTGCTGAGTAAGCTTACCGTGCAATCTTACTTAGCAATCTTGCGTTAATGTTATTGTGCAATGTTACAGTAACCTTGCACTGCAATCTTTCGGTAAACTTACCATGCAAGCTTGGGTCAGATGGGACATTTGAAGCTTGCGGCAAGTTTGCCAATATTGCGAGGAAAGCTTGCTGCAAGGTTGCTGCAAACTTATAAACTAACTTATTTTTAACTAATTCAGATTTAGAGTTCCTTTTTATTTTTCAATTAGAGAAATGTAAATAGAACTCGTATAGATTTATCACAAAAAAATTCTTCATAGGAACAATTTTCTCTTTGGAAAAAGAAATTTTTTTTTTTTTGACTAAATTAAAATAATAAAATTTATATTTAAAAGTTTTTCTTTTTTTTGATATAAAACATAACCTTTGGGATTTCATACATTTTAATTAAACTCTTTGGCAATCGCAATTTATATACTAGTAAAGTAAAAAAAAGAGATGTATGTTTTTTTTTTTTTTAAATAAACTTTTTTTTCTACGAATATCAGAGGAATTTATGTTAAGTAGTTTTATTAAATAATCATGTACAGTTGCTTTATTTCTTTTAAAAATGTTTCTATAGCAAATAAAAAATCGGTCAAGTGTGGCATCCAAGTGAATTGTTTTATTTTATGGATTTTTTTTGTTTCATTAAATATACATTGAGAATTAAATATTCCAATATAAAAAATTTAGTTTTTTTTAATATTAAAAAGTAAATATTTTTTTTAATTTAAAGAACAAATATATAATAAAAAATGAAGAATAATAGAGGATAAATAAAATAGTTCTTATTTAAATAAAAATGAATATATACTGTCAAAATGAGATGTTAAGAGATTTTTTGAAAAATTTATTTATGTAGGTAGTTTAAAAATGTGGCGAAGAAGGTAAATAATTCTCTCGAGGGATTACAACTGTTGTTAGATCGGACAAGTATATTTTACGTTTCACCCGCATAATTCAGCGAATAGAGAGGCAACAAAAAAATCATGAAATTTGTTGAAGAAGTTTTTATTTTTTATCAGAATATATATATATATATATATATATATATATATATATATATATATATATATATATATATATATATATATATATATATATATATATATATATATATATATATATATATATATATATATTCTTTTAACAATTTTCATTTTATTAAATCGCATTTTCTAAATGGATTTTCAATGTGAATATTCGTTACGTTAATTTCCTTGCATAATTTTCAGTGTCTTTTGTTTCCTTATTTAGTGCATTACAGTCAATTATCATAGAATTCATTTCTTGTAGAAAGAGGGATTTAATATTTTAATCTTCTTAAGACAATTGTTTTTCCTACTTTAGTATTTTTGAAAGCTTATTTTATAGGTAGAATTTAGATGTAGTTATTTCGTCACAATCTCTGCCAAAATTTATTACAAAAATAATGAAAGATTTGTTGGAACATATATTAATTATTATTATTGTTTATTAATTATTTATTATACTATGGCTCTGCATAAAAAAAAGTTTTAATTTTTGTCAGAAATTATTTCGAGACAATTACTGTAAATGAAGAAAGTGTTAAGTTTTCGTCCGATACTTAATTGTAGAAGTTTATAATTTTAGTTGTCGAAGTTAATTTTGTCTTAATTTTTCATTATTTTTTTTTGTTTTTTTTCTTTTTTCTCTTTTTTTTTTGAAAAATATTAATCGAGAAGAGGGAAAATTCATAATTAGTTATTTTCTAACTAGTTTACAAACCACGGGTTTCAAAGCTGCTGTAATTAATAAAATTTCAAATGTCTGACAGTATATTCCTTTTTCCACTTAAAGAAGAACATCCACTCATTGATCAGTGTAGGAGAGTTGATACAAAATTTTGTATTCGAAATTGTTTCGATTTATGAATAGTTTAAAATAAATTTATTTTTAATACATTCAATCTAAAAATTAATAAAAAAAAGTATATAGTCTTTTTTTATGATTATCAATTTTCATCAAAATTTTTATTCTATTTAAAGAATTCCTTTTTGTGCCTACGATTTTTTCGTCTTAAGAATTTTTATATTATAGTCGTATTCGTGAAATTATTTGAATTTCATATAAACCTAATGTTGAAATTAATATTTCAAAGGGGAAATAGAAAACAATAACTATTACCAAATATTTGGAAAATCATTCAATATATATTGACAATTGTATAGGTTTAATTATGTAAACACATTAGATGGTTATGTATAAAATTAGATGGCAATTAGTATAGATATTTGTAGGGAAATTAGATCGGCCAATGAATGTAATGAAGATTTTTTTTTCTTTTTATTCCTCTTGAAAAATATTTAATTATTCCAATAAAGTAACAAATATTTTTTTTTCTATATAATTTTCTTTATTGATATAAAAACTCATTAAAAAGTTTTTTCAGAAATTAAAAAAAAAAAATTGAAATCAAAAGATATATATATATTTTAATAATTAGTCTAGATATAATTTTATTTTGTCGGGTGTTAATTAGTTTTCCGATATATTGAAGTAAAAGTGAAAAATATTTGAAACCAATTTCGAGAATTAATAAGTTTTTACATTCAAATTGAAGTCAAAAGGAATGAAAAAAAAAGTTCACGAATTGAGGATTATATATGATTGTATAAAATAAGTCAATAAAATTTTGTAATTTAACGGAATTATATTCAATTAATAAAATAATGAAGAATAGAATCGAACGGTTTCTTGAATATTAATGAAATTGCCAATGATTTCACTTGTTTTAAATGAAGGTTTAGGAAGGTAATGATATTCTATCCAGATTCCACTTGCATTCAAATTCAGTGCTAAAAGTTTTAATTAAAACTAATTATCATTCCAGAAATTTGTTTTATTAGAAAGATGAAAAGCAGACATATCACTTTCAATTGTAATTGATTTATTTTATTTTTATTTTTTTAATTTTGATACGAGAAAGTATAATTAAAATTTTATTTCAAAAGTTGTGTACTTATTTTTATTTAAAGCATTTTTCTAAATAAAACTTTGGGTTGAAAAATTTTTCTCACGTAATGTCAAATTTCTAGGTATTTATTATTTTTTATAAAAATCGTGTTGACCCAGTTAAAAATTATGTTTGATTGAAATATGTAATTCTAATAAAATTTGCTTTGGTAAATGAAAATTTATAAAGTACTACCTATTTGAATGTGTTTTGATAGCACTCCACTGAAATAATATTGTAGATCATGCGATGGTTTTATTAGCTAATGTATTAAAAATAAACTAGTAAAGTAACCAAAAGTAACTAAAGTTTTTAAATTTCAACTTCTTCTCAAACATAACTTTATAGCCTTCTATTTACTGAATTGTCGAGTATAAAAAACTTTAATTTTAGTATTGTTTTCTAAAAAAGTTTTTTAATGCAATCTGTTATTTTTTTTTTTGTAACTGAGTTATAAATTAAGATTTATGTTGTAAATCTTATTTTTTGTTTCCCTTGGAAAAATTTTCAAATGAAATTGGCCACTGTACATTATTGTTATGAGATTGGGTTATCCACTATCAACGAAAATGTGTTTAGTTGTGTGAATTGAGAGAAAAAAGACAAATTTGTGAGGGGTTGTTGAAAAGATAGCTTTATAAAGAAATTGAAGATATGCATGAAGTTTTATTTTATTGTTACTGTTAAAAGAGATTATTCCACCGAAAGTGTCGAAAAGAAGGCTTTACAAAATAAGGAAGAGGGAAATTGTTCTCTTAAATCTGTCAAGTTCAATTGTACATGGGAGGAATAACAATGATACTAACATAAGAATTATATGCTAGTTCGTAAATTACAGAGAACCTAATCCTTAATGGTTGATGTTGATGTCCGATAAAAGTTTCCCATCAAATATCTGTTTTATTTGCATTTTCGTTGTATTCAATTTATCTTTTATACATAAAAGTATTGAATTTCTATGACGTCTTTGAAAATTAATATTTCTTTTTAATTTAACTCGTTGACAGTCTATTAATTTTCCAAACGTCAAATTCAATGTTTTTTTTTTTTACAATTTTTTATAGACTGATAAAAAGAAGTTCCGATACATTGAAATACGTTCCTCTAACAAAGGGAAAAAACAAAGAAAATTGAAGTCCATTGTTTCAAATTACTATTAACAATTTTCATTTGTTTCTAAACTTTAATGTAATAATTAGTTTACTTTTAAAAGTTAATTTTATTTTAAGATTTAAATTCATTCATGTACAATGACATAAATCTGTTAAGCCCTTGCTATGAGCGTGTTAGGATTTAATTTTCGTTGAAAAGTTAGTAATTGACAAGTAAAGATTAAAAGATATCAGTTTCCTTATTGTCTTTCTTTTTTTTTTTTAATTTTTAAGGCGATTAGGAATTCTTTTATCAAAATTTGTTGAGATTTTCGATTTTTCACTCTCTAAATTTGAATTTCGTTCACTAATTTAAATTTAGAAAGCAACTAATGTATACATAATTGATTTTAAAATTATTTATGCTTTTAATTCTGCAATTATTATGGAATATTATTTTTAAATTGAAAATTCTTACTAAAATACAGAAATTGATTAATAATGTGAAAATTATAAACCTTATTATGCTAAATTACTATTATTGTTATACTCACCGTGAGGACCTTCCGGAATCATAATCACCCTCAAAGCTACTGCCATTGGCACTGCTAAAGCTCCACTAATCAGCCAAATACCTGCGATGATTAGTTTAGCTTTCAGTTTGCTTGGTCTTGCACTGAAACATATATAGATTCAATTTAAAAAATTGACAATTTAATTGAATAATAATTTAAATTTAATTCAATTAAAATTCTTATTTAATTTAAGAAAAAAAATTTAAAAATCGTTGGCAGGTTTTAATGCCTAACATATTAAAGGGTAGTTGTTTACTTGTCTAAAAATGGACAACACACACTCAAATTTATATGCTAATTAGAAATTCGATATAAAGTAAAGTTTGAAAATTTCCAGGTTATAAATTTCATTGAAACCGTCATTCAATTTGAAATTAAACCGGAAATTACTTGTACGAAAATAGTTTGGATACATGAAATGGAGGGTCTTGAAAAGAAATCTTTGAAATTCGTAGAATTTAATATAAGAAAATGTCATGGGTAAGGGAGGATAAAGAAAAGCGATGTATTTAAACATCACAATTGAAACACGATGTAGGGCGATAGCAAATGCTTAAGACAATAGTAAACGATATTTTGAAATCCATGATAAAGAAAAACAAATTGCAACTTTATTTTATGTCAATTTAATGGTGATAAAAATAGTAAATTTCGAGGAGGGTTTCTGAAAATTAATTTTTCAAAATAAATCCATTTTTGGGAAATGTTTTCTTTGAAGAATATATGATAAAATTAGATATTGATTTTTGGTAATTGTAGGTTATTTTTTTAAATAAAAAAGATATTTATGTTTCTTCAATTCTTGACCTTTTAAAAAATTTTTAAAAATGTTTTTACAACTTTTAAAAGATGAATACAAGAAATCTTGGACAAGCGATAAGAATGTTTGAAACTTTTAAAACTGATTTAGGTATATCAATGTAAGTTGGAACAAACATACGTTACTCTTTATATGTATATTCTTAAAGTATTTTTCAAGTTGCAAACTCTCTTAAATTTTCTTCACCCTATTCGTGGAGAACAAAACCCGCACCAACTTTCGTTCATTCCCTCAACAGAGACTTCGTTTTCACATATAAACACGTGAATTTAATATACAGTCACCTACACACATTTATTTTATATATATATATCATCACCGAAAACCATTTTCAAGTGAATTTAAAATATATTAAAGATTGTTTTGGGAAAATAGAAAGAAAATTAGCCTATAAAGAAGACGACGACGGCAACAATGTGCGGGACAAATTTTTTATAATAAAAAGTAATTTAATAAGTTATCAAATTTTGGAATTCGCTATTTAAAAACTATTACATATTGTTATATATGAGCTATAAAATTTTTTTTTTTTTTAATTTCATTTCTTTTGAAACAAAATTATGTGTAATAAAAAAAAGTTCTGTCTTAAAAAATTGCATTTTAAAATATCTGATAGATTGTGAAAGAGTATAAAACTACTTTTAAAGTTTAAAAAAGATGTAAATTTTCTTTTTAAGGAAAAAGTAATTCACTTAATAAGAAAAGAAGAAAATTTAGATTTAAAGATCATAAATTTGATTTGAAATAATAGCACTTTGTAAAAAAAAATAGTTGCAGTTATGTTTGTGAAAAAAAAAATTTGCTTTTTATTTTTTCTCTTTGAAAAATTACTGATAACTTATTAAACAATAATTAACGTCATAACCATACATTTTCTAAAGTAACCAGATCATTGTGCCTCAGTCTGTCTCATGTCAGCGTCAGAGATCGCATTCATTTAAAACAGCACTGCTGATATAATCCGAGACCCCCAACGATAAATCAAGTGTCCGATACCCGGAAAGAAAAATTTCACGATAACAATACTGTAGATATCATTAAAAAAATATCCTGTTTTACATTTAAAAATAAACAATGTATTTCAATTAATTAAATTTTTTTTTTTTAATTCGTAACTTCTTTTGAAGAATTGCCTATATGTAATATTAATTAAATTCATGAAAGGAAAATTTAAATTAAAAACTATTCAAAATAAAAGCGTAATATTATTTTTGCATTTTTTTTTGACTAACCTTAAAGGTTTAAGTATGGCTCGATGTCGGTCAACAGCAATCGCTGTAAGGGTGAATACTGATACATTTACACACAAAGCCTGTACGAAAGGGCAAAACGCACACATGAAATGAGGTAAAATCCATCGTTGTAGTAAAGCTGCTTGAAACTGAAAACATCGTTAATACGATTACTTTACAACCACTTTTTATTATTATTATTATTATTATTTTATTAAAAATGTTTGAAAATATTAATAATTGGTCTTTTAAATCTTTGAGGAAGAGCAATAAGGAATATTAAAATGCTTTAGATTTGAAATTTTTTTTTTTAATTTTTAAGAATAGAGAGATGAAAGAAAGTTTTTCTATGGCTATGAAAGAACATGACGACTTTGAGTACACTTGAATCTTTTCAGTTATGGAAGATCAGAAAAAATGAGTAAAGTTAAATTAAAAACAAAACAGTTTTCTGAAATTTGTTTTTTTAAAATTAAAATGTCATTTAGAATTATTCATTACTTAAATTGTATTTAAATATAATTTTCTAAATTTTTTTCTTTAACTATTCATTTGTGTTACGAACGAGAAAAATTAATTATTTAATTTTTATAATTTTAAACAATTACTTAAAATTTTCTATTCGCCGGAGGAACCAAGTTGCCATTAAAAGTCAAAATGAACATTTAACTTAATAATGTTTATTTTTATGTGGGTTCGATTAATTATATCGCCGATAGAAGACGAAACTGCCAATTTAATCTTTAGATCGTAAATAATGTTTCTTAGCTTTGAGATGAAAATCCACACTATTTTTGACAGCACAAATAAAAAGGTCTATTTGATTGAATAGAACAATTGGAATTTTAGTTTACAAAAATTTATTAAAAATCAAAGTAAAAATTGCAAAAATTACACATTATATGCTTTCTTTTGTAAAGAATAATGTTTTTGGAACGATACAGTTTTTTATTACTTACGGCTAGATTTCTCTTACACACTACCGTCGAGAGAGCTTGTTGAGAAGGGAGAATTCTCGCGATCTCGTCACACAATCAACGGGCAAAACGAAAGAAAGGTGTTATGCGTATTTCCGCGTCTCGAAACGCGGTACCGGTACCCTATCAGACACAAGCGGCGCAGGTACAATCCGTACGGACTGGCCGGTTTTAAGAACAAAAAATTATTTAATAAATTATAAATAATTTATTAAATAATTTCTCACTGTACTGATCAACCGATTGGGACTCAGCCGGTTCAAGGTTCGATTTAATTTTACGTCCGCCCAAAGAAAATAGAATTTAAATTGGAGCCAGCTCGCAGACGGGCCTTATTCTTAAAATTAAAAATTGGCTCAACGACAATCTATCGTGATTCAGCAATTTTAATTTTAGAAATTTAAGCACTGCTGTTAATTTACCTGGCTCAACGAAAATCTATCGTGATTCAGCAGGTATATTATTGAGCTTTCTCCACAGTTTAAACTCTAAGTTCACTTTTTAAAGAAATAATGCAAAAATCAGTAACACGTACTAAGTGATTGACTGAAGACGAATAGGCAATGAGGCCCTATGAGCTTCTGCTTATAAAGAGCATCGCGAGATGCACTTAGTGGGATTAGTGAATCAGGGGTAGAAGGATTCTGGGGGTTTCAGGGGTATCGATAAGAAAACTTAGATCATCGTCCATCGATATTCTCAGAACCCATGATTCTTGTTATTCTTTTCTTTGTTGACACTATTGGAACTGCACATCTCCATATGTGTAAGTGTATATATGTGTTTTTAATAAAGTATAACTCGCAACCTTTGTTGAATTCCAGAGCGGTCATAGTTCTGCACAGATTATCGTTTTCATATTAAAAATGAAACTATTTTCCTTTTTTATATATGCATATACATTTTACGCATACACACGTACATTTACCTTAGTACACATACATATATGCACGACATACATGTCTCAAAAATTTTCTTCTCTTTTTTTTTTTTATATGCATTTTGTTTTTTTTACAAAATTGACCCTCTTAAAATAAAATCTTAATTGTTGCGAGTTTATATGTGCTTGGAAAATGTGACATGTTCCAATTTAAGCTATCAACAATTATTCTATCTTTATTTCCCTTTTTTTTTTAATTTGAAGGTATTATAAGGAAAAGAATAGGGGAAGGAAGGCAGTGTTTGCATCGCGCGATACTCCTCAAGCGCCTCACACATATGCGTTACGCAGGCTATGGGGAGTCCGTGTCTGTGTGTACCGCATCCACGCTACGAGACTCATTGCACCTGAACGCGTGAGAAAGAGAGAGAAAGATAGATAGAATTGACATATGCGATTCTTCTCCCTTCTTATAAAATAATACATTTTCGTAAATATAATAATTGCAATATAATAATCACATTATTGTTGGTTACTATAATATGCGTAGAAATGTGCAACCAAACAATGTATACACATATCTATGCATATCACTTTGGCATACTATGAACACACGTACACACGATAAAAATAATGCACACGCATACGTGCATATACAATGCATATTCTTTGAAATAATATTTGATAATGATGATTCTAATAAGTAGAAAAATAGTATTGGTAATATATCCAATTGTTTATAATAATAATTATGATTAATTATTAATATTAATTTTAGTAAATGTAATTAACAATGATAATAATACGATTTATCATTATTAATAAAAAAAATCATGAATTAACAATAATTTGCATATTGTTAATTAATTAATTACTGCAAATTACTAATAAAAATGAGTAAAGTATAATTGTTTTATTTATAATAATATTTTAGTATCTTTATATAAGGTAAGTACACTATATTATATTTTTCATGCATATATTTATAATATTCAAGCTTGAATATTGGTATTAGATAATTAATATAGTTTATAATATAGCATAATATAATATAGTATAAATCATAATATAGAATAATATAACATAAGATAGAATAAAATAATATATTATAATATAACAGTTTAACAAAGTTATATTATAATATCATAGTCATAGATACATTTTTAGAAGCAACGAGAATATAAGACTGTGTGTGTGGAGTATCACTCAACGCGCGCGATTATCGGGGATTCAAATTACATGCCTATATACATTGTGGCATCGACTTGGAGATTTTATTCTTAAATAATTTTCAATTATTCTTGAAATTATTTATTATCATTTTATTTATCTTTTATTTATAATTTCGTTACGATAGTTCGTAACAATCCACCGCGGATTTTTCCGTTTTCGTCCCCGAAAACTCATGGTCTCGACCACAGCATTCCTTATACTTTGTATATCGACATATAATCTAAATATTGTGTCTACTTGGTGACTCTTCTAAGCACTGCTACAGTATAGGACCCAGTATCAATGTCTTTGTGCTGATACAAATCAGTTCATTTCGTGAAGTGATCAAGTGCGCTTGTGAAATTTAAAATCTCTGGGATTATTTTATTTTGAACAATTTTAGTGGATATCGGAGGATTTTATTTTAAACAATTATTGTAAAAGTGCGAATAGTGCAAAAACTTTGGAAGACTATATTTTTTTTTTTATTATAACAATTAGTGTAAAAGTGCGGGTGGTGCAAAAACTTTAAAAAAAAACTATTTTTTTTTTTTAAAAAAAAACAATTAGTGTAAAAGTGCGGGTGGAGAGTAAAAAAAAATGGCTGGAAATGCGGAAAACAGCAGAGAATTTATGGAGAGGTTTAGTAAGTTTCAAGATTTTCTATTTTTTTATTTCTTTTTACTATTATTGAATTATTTATTGATTGTTTATAACAATCGATAAATATATCTCATTCTCGGTAAACAAATACACACATCCTTTTAAAAATAGATAATAATTATTATTATTATAAAAAATTTTTTTTTTTTTTTTTTTTTTTTAACCTAATTTATTTATCTTAATAATTATTTAATAATTTTAATTTTGTTTATAATAAAAATTTTATTTATTTATTATTATTATTATTTTTTTTATAGATTTCAAATAAAATTAATAATTTTTGTTATTAATTTATAATAATAATTATTATTGATCATTAAATATTAATTAAACAATTTAAAAATATTTCAAAATGAAAATCGTTCATAATTTTGAATTTGCTTTCTAAATGCTATCAAATGTATATTCCATGCTCTTGGAGGGGTATGTATATAGTCGATGCGGCGCCGCATCTTACACTTGATGACAGCATATATAGATATACATGTATACACAGTTCCAGCGCGATGATCATAATATGAACCCAGACACATTATATTACAAAAAAATATTTTAAAATTAAAACTAAAATATATTATTATTACTATTATTATATTTGTTTAATTTTCTTTTTTTTTTTTTTTTTTTTTTTTTTTTTTATTAATTAAATTAATAACATACATTGTACATAATTTAAATATAATTAATATTTTTAATTATTAACAATCGATTATAATTAATATATATAATTTTTTTTTTTTTTTTTTAACTTTCTTTAAAATTTTAATTGTTTATAATTTATTAGCAATATAAAATTACTTAATCAAAATATTTTGTAAATGTAAAATTAAAATTGATTAGAATAAGTAATTATTTTCAACTTTATTATTGATGTTTTATATAAAAAATTCTTTGTTCGTAAAAATAAATTGACATTTAAAATTGCATTTTTTTTGTCTTGGTTCATATATTCAAAGTGCTATTAGGCATGGGTACCATCTATTTAGATGGGTGCGCGTACAGACAGCTCGGCGCCACAGCTCATGCCTTGTACACAGTATATATATATATATATATATATATATATATAGAGAGTATACATGCTTACGGTTTGAACATAGTGACCACAATATAGGATTTAAATGCACAGTGCATATACTGAGTTTTATGAATGAATTTCTCCTATATTTTTATTTAATAAACAACATGTATTAGTTAACTAATTAATTATTAATTAATTATTTATTTAATAGAAATTTCGTAAAAAAAAATTTAAGTTTACTAAGTTTTGTTTATTTAATAAATTTATTTAATGTTATAAATTTTTAGCAACAATTTTTTTTTATACATATAAAAAATTGTTTATTTAACAATTTTCAAAAATTTAATAATAAAATTTGGTACATATAATAAAATTTTGATAATTATTTAAATTTTA